GGAAATGGAAGACATACAAGACCACAGATAATCTCCCTCGATCTGGGGCTCCACGCAAGATCTCACCCCGTGGGGTCAAAATGATCACAAGAGCGGTGAACAAAAATCCCAGAACCACACGGGGGGACCTAGTGAATTACCTGCAGAGAGCTGGGACCAAAGTAACAAAGCCTACCATCAGTAACACACTACGCCGCCAGGGACTCAAATCCTGCAGTGCCAGACGTGTCCCCCTGCTTAAGCCAGTACATGTCCAGGCCCGTCTGAAGTTTGCTAGAGTGCATTTGGATGATCCAGAAGAGGATTGGGAGAATGTTATATGGTCAGATGAAACCAAAATATAACTTTTTTGGGGTGGAAACATCATGCTTTGGGGCTGTTTTTCTGCAAAGGGACCAGGACGACTGATCCGTGTAAAGGAAAGAATGAATGGGGCCATGTATCATGAGATTTTGAGTGAAAACCTCCTTCCATCAGCAAGGGCATTGAAGATGAAACGTGGCTGGGTCTTTCAGCATGACAATGATCCCAAACACACTGCCCGGGCAACGAAGGAGTGGCTTCGTAAGAAGCATTTCAAGGTCCTGGAGGGGCCTAGCCAGTCTCCAGATCTCAACCCCATAGAAAATCTTTGGAGGGAGTTGAAAGTCCGTGTTGCCCAGCGACAGCCCCAAAACATCACTGCTCTAGAGGAGATCTGCATGGAGGAATGGGCCAAAATACCAGCAACAGTGTGTGAAAACCTTGTGAAGACTTACAGAAAACGTTTGACCTGTGTCATTGCCAACAAAGGGTATATAACAAAGTATTGAGAAACTTTTGTTATTGACCAAATACTTATTTTCCACCATAATTTGCAAATAAATTCATTAAAAATCCTACAATGTGATTTTCTGGATTTTTTTTTCTCATTTTGTCTGTCATAGTTGACGTGTACCTATGATGAAAATTACAGGCCTCTCTCATCTTTTGAAGTGGGAGAACATGCACAATTGGTGGCTGACTAAATACTTTTTTCCCCCACTGTAGTTTACAGCAGAAAATATGGTAATTAACTACAATGACCATAATTCATTGCGCGCCTGCTTGAACTTGTCTAGTCCTTGCAGAGCAGACACAGAGACTGACAGAGAACTTGTGATCGAGAGCGATTTTAAAAAAAAAAACAGTTGCTTCGAGAGCCTGACAACACATGATCTAAGTGATTGATAGTTGGTATTTCAGTGGTCATAAAAGTCTGCCTTATTTACTTTGAAGAACTACAAAATAGTGATTTTGTCAGACAGTGTAGGCAGCAGCTCTATAGAGATGAGATGATGACTTGGAATGAAATAATAGTCATCAAATAAAACAAATATTTTATTAAAGTAAAGTAATGTGAACAAATAATGGTTAATAAGTGATGAGCAGTAATGGCAGGGACTACAATCATGGTACTTTTATTAATTGTTTTATTCAGTGTTACAGCATTCAACCCACAGTGCATTTCATGTAAAAAAGAAAAAAAAAAGTAATAATCCAACTGAAACCGAGTCAAACTCAAAAAGCACTAATCGCTCAGTACTACAAAATATACACTGAGTGAACACCTTCCTAATATTGAGTTGCCCTCATAACAGCCTCAATTCGTTGGGGCATGGACTCTACAAGGTGTCGAAAGCGTTCCACAGGGATGCTGCCCATGTTGACACCAATGCTTCCCACAGTTGTGGTAAGTAGCGGTGTGTGGGTAAAATCACCGGGGAAGCAAAGCCAGGGGGGGAAAGCCATATTACAACCTATGTGTTGTGATAATTGTATTGTTTGCTCTATATCCTGTTAGTTCATATGCCTTGACACTGTGATATATAGGCCTAAGGCCAGGACAATAAGAAGGCACAGTGGCAGAATAAATTCAACCACATGTTTTTTTCATTACAAAACTGGAGAGCAACCTCTGTTTGGTGAAGTCCACAAAGCATATTGCATGTAACAAACAGTTACCTGACCTACAGCATGCTCAAGCAAGTTAATGTTTCCGACATTTTCTGACTACTAAACAACTATTGATTTAGAACCACGGAGAGTTACCGCATGTCGCAAAGAAAACAGGAGCTGCCTCCACTATTCCAGCACCATTTCAACTTCAACATCATCAAATCACCTATGCTTAGTCTAAAACAGGGACAACTAAAAGATACCGAAAACAATTTAGTCCAATCAACGTAAGCTATATGACGTGGCTGTCCATGGTTCTGATTTGTGTGTGCGTGTGTTCGTGCACGTAGAAAAAACATGTTGACTCACCCTACTGGTAGAGAAATGCCAATGCCATCCTCCTCTCTTTCATGTTGACAAAACGGTCTATGACAGTCATACAGTACACACTTGTATTTTTTGTTGTCCTAGGCTACCTGGCTAAAATGCTTACTTGCTAGCCTAACTTCCATTCATGGGCAATGTTAGCTAGTTAACATTAGCCTTCTAAATCTACCTACATATTGAACTTCCATCCTCCCAGTCCAGAGGCACAATGTTTGAATTAATGGTTGGATCAGAATCGCCATTATAATCATTGGCCAGTACGGCGAAAAGTCCAAATCCCTATCTCCGTCCATGGCTAATTTAGGAAACTGCCAATTTTAGCTAGCTAGCTAGCCACCAGAGGACAACGCAACGAGATGCAACAATTTAAGTTGTTTCTGTCAATATTTCTCTTGATCCCTTGTGATAGGAGTGAAGCCAAATCCAAGCTGGCTTCCCTTAACACTTTTTTTTGGTGCGCCAGGACCATTCACAGTTGAGCTCAACGCTTATTGGCTATTATTTTAGGGAGGCCAAATGCTTGTTGGCTTCCCTTGCATTCAATGCTACGGGTGGCAACAATGTCATACTCTTTTTGATCAGACAGCATCAGATAGATGGCCTACACATTCAGAAACAGAGGGGCACTGTTTCACTCGCTCTGATGCTTTCTCCGGTGAGATGCATTCATCCTCTTAAAAATCCTTCTTTAACCTGTCTCCTCCCCTTCATCTACACTGATTGCAGTGGATTTAACAAGTGACATCAATAAGGGATCATAGCTTTACCTGGATTCACCTGGTCAGTCTGTCATGAAAGAGCAGCTGTTCTTAATGTTTTGTACACTCAGTGGAGTAACTTGCCAAGACGACATTGAATGTTCCTGAGTGGCCTAGTTACAGTTTTGACTTAAATCGGCTTGAAAATCTATGGCAAGATTTGAAAATGGCTGTCTAGCAATGATCAACAACCAACTTGAATAATTTTTTTAAAGAATAATGGGCAAATATTGTACAATCCAGGTTTGCAAAGCTTTAAGAGACTTACCCAGAAAGACTCACAGCTGTAATCTCTGCCAAAACTGGTTCTAACATGTATTGACTCAGGCGGTTGAATACTTATCTAATCAACATATATTAGTGTTTTATTTTCTGTTCATATTATTTGCTTTATTTTTCTTCCACTTTGATATTAGTGTATTTTGTGTAGATCATTGACAGAAAATTACAATTCAATCCATTTTAATCCCACTTTGTAACACAACAAAATGTGGACAAAGTCAAGGGGTGTGAATACATTCTGAAGGCACTGTAACTACCTAGCAAGATGACATAGAAACAATTTAATTCACTCTCCATAATCCCATACTGCCAGTGCCAGCCCATAGCCAAGTGTTTAGCTCGCTAGCTAGCTAACGTTAGCATATTCGCTAGCTAACGTTAGCATATTCGCTAGCTCGCACAACATAGCTAATAACACTGCACATGGAAACTAGCTAATCCATTGTGATGTAATATAATGTCAATACTAGCTACAGTGGTTAGCTAGCTTGGAGGAAGTATTTGGTGTTGTGTGCATTGCGTCTGTGCACTTAGCTAGCTACCATCCCATAGCCTACACTGCATATGAAGTGTGACTGGCTCCTCCGTGGATGTACAGAGAAAATTACCCATTTTTTTGTTGGCGGATTAGCTCAAAGTCAAGTTGTTGGCCACTGACGACCATTGCGATTCTACAAGTAGATACGGCTGGTTTGTTGCTACCAGGTCGGCACGCAGCATGTACTGCTTTTGTAATAGCTAGAGAAGGAACGGCCTCCCACTCTGATAAATACCTATCGGCCTTGAGATTCTCGTGTGTTTCATGCTTTAGCGTAAGTAGATAGTTAGTAGAATTGTTACTGATAGTCTGTAGAGCAACAGTTTACAGCTCGGATTTTCTTCCCATCATAATTGTCAAGGTGGTAAATAAGTAGTTTCATTGAAAAGGGGATTTGCGCGTTACAAAAATGGCAGAAGCATTACTGTACTTCTAATATTCAACAAATAGCATTAGTTTTTCCCATAGGAAAAAAAACAACCTCAACTCGCGTTTGCGGACTGCGGCGCGAGCGTGGCAACACAGATGAATGAATAACAGCACACATTGGGAAATAGAGCTTTGATGTGATCAAATCAAAAATAGCCTACATGTAAGTAAGAGCGAGAGTATAAACATTGTTTGTAGTTGAGGTTAGTTACAAGTCCATTGTCCTGGCTTCTCATCAGTTCAGAAGATTGACGAGTAATTGAAGAGACCGTCTGGGAGCTATGTGGGAGAGCCGGGCAGATCGGCTCAATCAGACCACGCAACTGAAAGATGTCTATTCTGCCAATGAGAAGATTGCATGAAATATTTTGTTTAGGATTGGACAAAACTGATGAAAAATTAGCATCATGTTAAATTAAATCTCCATTAATCTCACATGGAATTCTCATCTCCTCATATTTTCGTCACCTAAAATGAAAAATAATTTGTAGTTATGTTTTTTTCCCAGGGCCTCTCGTTGTCGTCAGTTTTAGTCAGGTAAAATAGGTACTTGACGAGTATTTTTCGTCATAGTTATTGTTGACGAAATGAACACTGTTTGACAGGACCTAGATCAGATGGGGAGGGAGCAGGACAAGGAGTCAGTCAAGCTGGCTCTACTCAGTGAGGTGGAGAGACACCGCAAGCAGATGCTCAGGTAAGAGAGCACGGTAGGAGTGTGGAATACTGCTGTTGCTTCAGTACTGGATCCAGTCTGTAGTAGTTAGTAGGATGCACGTCTCCATTAGAATGGTTTTCTGGTGTTTTCCTTAGACCTTTACATATAGTGGTAGTGCATAAACTGTAAGCAAGCATCCTAATGAAACTGTATGTTTCCTATCCCTGCAGTAACCAGACAGCATGGAGGAAGGCCAACCTGGCCAGTAAACTGTCCCTAGACAATCTGGAGAAGGAATCTCTTCTCTATGGAGGAGATAGTGAACTTAGACAAAGGTAAACAGATACCTGCTGTTTCTAGATACTCTGCTGTAGTGTTTCACTGTGTGTTTATACTTTCTGTCTTATTGTTGTCTGTTACTCTGAAGATTTAGAATGTCTTTGTTATTTTTTCCTCCAATCAGGAAGGTTACCAAAGAGGGGCTGGCCCAGACGTCCAGTGACATCACTGAGAGCCTGATGAGCATCAGCCGGATGATGTCACAGCAGGTGACACAGAGCGAGGAAACCATGACGACGCTGGGTGAGTGGCGCCTCCTAGAGTACAGAGTGTGAATCATATCGGTGTCTGTGTTTCTGAGATGACAGTAGTGTTTATAATTTCGGTCCCTAAGCCCGTCCCCTAGCTCCATTTCCCTTCAGTGTTTGCAAATCTGAAATAACTAGATGAGTGAGATGTAGTGGTAAAAATATAAAAAGTGGGTAAATGCTGATCGCCTTTCACAATGAATAAAGTAATGCTCCCTATATTTACAATGCACTTTTTTGCAATAGGTGCGTAAACGTTTGAGCAACATAAAAAAGGTGCGTAAATGCCGTTTGCGTGTGTTTATCTTCCACTGCACCACTGGTGAGAACAATATGGAGATGGTTCCACCATTTCGTATGTATATACTATATTCTACTGTATTTTAGTCAATGCCACTCCGACATTGCTCGTCCTAATATTTATGTTTCTTAATTCCATTATTTTAGATTTGTATGTATTGTTGTGAATTGTTAGATACTGCTGCACTGTTGGAGCTAGGAACACAATAACCCTCAATAACATCTGCTAAATATGTGTATGTTTATGTGACCAATAAAATTTGATTTGATTTTGATTTGGAAAGCCATCAAATTGGAGCACCCAAGGACTGTTTCTCAGTTGCTTTATTCAAATAAAAACATACAGTGCCTTCGGAAAGTATTCAGACCCCTTTACTTTTTTCTCATTTTGTTACGTTACACCCTTATTGTAAAATGGATTAAATAAATACAAATCCTCAGCAATCTACACACAATACCCCATAATGACAAAGCAAAAACAGGTTTTTAGACATTTTTAGAAATGTACTACAAATAAAAAACGGAAATACCTTGTTTTACATAAGTATTCAGCCACTTTGCTTTGAGACTCAAAATTGAGCTCAGGTGCATCCTGTTTCCGTTGATCATTCTTGAGATGTTTCTACAACTTCATTGGACTCCACCTGTGGTAAATTCAATTGATTGGACATGTTTTGGAAATACACACACCTGTCTATATAAGGTCCCACAGATGACAGTGCATGTCAGAGCAAAAACCAAGCCATGAGGTCGAAGGAATTGTCCGTAGAGCTCCAAGACAGGATTGTGTCGAGGCACAGATCTGGGGAAGGGTACCAAAACATTTCTGCAGCATTGAAGGTCCCCAAGAACACAGTGGCCTCCATCATTCTTAAATGGAAGATATTTGGAACCACCAAGACCCTTCCTAGAGCTGGCCGCCCGGCCAAACTGAGTAATCGGGGGAGAAGGGCCTTGGTCAGGGAGGTGACCAAGAACCTGATGGTCACGCTGACAGAGCTCTAGATTTCCTCTGTGGAGATGGGAGAACCTTCCAGAAGGACAACCATCTCTGCAGCACTCCACCAATAAGGCCTTTATTGTAGAGTGGCCAGACGGAAGCCACTCCTCAGTAAAAGGCACATGACAGCCCGCTTTGGAGTTTGCCAATAGGCACCCAAAGACTCTCAGACCATGAGAAATAAGATTATCTGCTCTGATGAAACCAAGATTGAACTCTTTGGCCTGAATGCCAAGCGTCACGTCTGGAGGAAACCTGGCACCATCCCTACGGTGAAGCATGGTGGTGGCCGCATCATGCTGTAGGGATGTTTTTCAGTGGCAGGGACTGGGAGACTAGTCAGGATCGAGGAAAAGATGAACGGAGCAAAGTACAGAGAGATCCTTGATTTAAAAAAATACCTGCTCCAGAGTGCTCAGGACCTCAGACTGGGGCGAAGGTTCACCTTCCAACAGGACAATGACCCTAAGCACACAGCCAAGACAACGCAGGAGTGGCTTTGGGACAAGTCTCTGAATGTCCTTGAGTGGCCCAGCTAGAGCCCGGACTTGAAGCCGATCAAACATCTCTGGAGAGACCTGAAAATAGCTGTGCAGCGACGCTCCCCATCCAACCTGACAGAGCTTGAGAGGAACTGTAGAGAAGAATGGGAGAAACTCCCCAAATACAGGTGTGCCAAGCTTGTAGCGTCATATCCAAGAAGACTCGATGCTGTAATCGCTGCCAAAGGTGCTTCAACAAAGTACTGTGTAAAGGGTCTGAATACTTATGTAAATTTGATATTTCTGTTTTTTATTTCTAATAAATTAGCAAACATTTCTACAAACCTGTTTTTGCTTTGTCATTATGGGGCATTATTGTGTGTAGATTGATGAGGGAAAATAACAATTTAATCAATTTTAGAATGAGGCTGTAACGTAACAAAATGTGGAAAAAGTCAAGGGGTCTGAATACTTTCCGAAGGCACTGTAAGCAGCTGACACATTTCAACAGTCGACTATTTGATATGTCCAGACACAAAGTATTTGCCAAAGCCTAGTGTGGACTCTCTTCTCCGTAGCAACCTCGTCTCAGGCGGTCGTGGAGACCAACGATGAGTTTAAGGCCATGACCGGAACCATCCAGCTGGGGAGAAAACTCATCACTAAGTACAACCGCAGGGAGCTCACTGACAAACTGCTCATCTTCCTCGCACTCGCACTCTTCCTCGCCACGGTCTTCTACATCCTCAAGAAGAGATTCTTCTTCTTCCTCTAGACCAGACACAACTAACTTAAACTAAGTAACTTTTAGAGAAACTTTGATTAGAGTAACTATGATCATATGTGCTAATTTATGACATAAGTGAGACGTCTTAAGTATTGGCAGATGAATATACTGCTTATTAATCATTCCTACCTGCCACAGGTACACACGTAATTCCATGTCAACATTTAAAGACACACACAGTAGTAATGGCTTCCGGGATAAGCCTATTGTAAACACTATGCCTCTGTCATGGAAGGAAATATCAGACTGCCGTCAACTGTTTGCAGTGCTTATAGGAAAGTTTGATGGTTAATGTAACCAATTGTTATGATTATCGTGTTAATTTATTATTCCATTGCAGGAAGTTAAAGCTGTTGTCCAGTTATTTATATCATGCTCTGAAAGAGAAATAAATGGATATTACCAGTAGCCTTATTTAATGGAGATTCCATTTCCGCCGGACCATTATTTAAAGGAAAGGGGTTCATGTCAATGTGTAACACATTCTCTGTAACGTAATCAGTTTTCGAAGAGATTTATTACAATAAAACGTTGACATTCATGAAATTGTGTCAAGCACCAGTGTAGAAATGTAGGATGTACATAGCACCCACACAAGTTTCAGTGAGTCTGGTCTAGCTTCTGGTCTTCAGTATTTCCTTATGGAGCAAGCTAACTTGGCTCAGCAGTGGTGAGGCCTGCTCCCAGTAGCTAGCAGCAGGGGGAACAGGACAGTCTGTGCAGCACAGGCACCAGGCAGAAAAACATCTGAAAAGCTGTGGCAGTAATCACATAGTCAGCGATAAGGAACCATGCGTCTCTGCCTTTCTTCAGATAAGACCCGGAAAAGCAGATTATTCCGACCCGTTTCCTGCTCCCTTTCTTTCCACCGGGGGTGGAGGGTGAGAGGAGGTTATTTTTAGGTTTGCGTGGACCTGTTATCTGACATTGCCTTTTCAACACCTTGGAGGGGTGAGAAGTGATGTGGGGTAAGGGGGGCTGGTAGCTGCATGACCTCTCTACCCTCTACATGATGACGGTCTCACATGTCATTTGGCAAATAAAAATCTAAAAATCATGTTGACGTTTCTGTTCAGTGTACCAATAAATGCCTCTGACTTTGTCTATCCGAGTTGTCTCAGTTGTATGTGTTGTTATGGATCATATCTGCCTCTGAATCAGTGGGGACAGACGGTACAGGTAGCTTAGTGGTTAGAGCAATGGGCCAGTAACCGAAAGGTTGCTGGTTTGAATACCCTAGCCGACAAGGTGAAAAATCTGTTGATGTGCCCTTGAGCAAGGCACTTAACCATCATTTGCTCCAGGAACGCCGTAGTACTATGGCTGACCCTGTAAAACAATACATTTCCCTGCACCTATGTGACAATACAATATATATATATTGTTTTTTTTTTTACAGTGAGACACGTTACCGAATACGTGTGGAGAGAGTCGATAGACCTAAGAGAAGGCTAAGCGGTTCTTACTCGTTTTAAAGTGGCAGCCATTTGTGCTCGGCCAATTCCTCATCCCGTCCCTTTAGCTGCACACTTATAGCAGGGCCCCGGCTCTATGTCAAGCAAATGGAGCTATTCTTACATAGCACCATGATAGTGTCAATCAAGAGGAGAGGTGTGTATGATCTTGAAATGTGAATAGGTCCTGTTTGGTGGCAGGCCCTGAACTGTGTTCTACACTGAGTTCTACATAGTGAGGTGAAGTGAGTTCCCCCACACAATGCTGCCTAAAGGGCTTTTAATGTGATACAGTGCCTTGAGAAAGTATTTACACCCCTTGAGTTTTTCCACATTTTGTTGTGTTACAGGCTGAATTTAAAATGGATTAAATTGAGATGTTGTGTCACTAGCCTACACACAATACCCCATAATGTCAAAGTGGAATTATGTTTTTAAAAATGTTTACTAATGAATTAAAAATGAAAAGCTGAAATGTCTGTATTCAACATAAAATGTGTTTAAGTCACAAGTTGCATGGACTCTTTTTGAAGTGAAGGACTACTTCATCTCTGTACCCCAAACATACAATTATCTGTAAGCTCCCTCAGTCGAGCAGGGAGTTTTTCCAGTGCCTCGCAAAGAAGGACACCTACAGTATTGGAAGATCGGTAAAAAAAAGTAAACATTGAATGTCCCTTTGAGCATGGTGAAGTTATTAATTACACTTTGAATGGTGTATAAATATACCCAGTCACTACAAAGATACAGGTGTCCTTCCTAACTCAGTTGCCGGAGAGGAAGGAAACCGCTCAGGGATTTCACCATGAGGCCAATGGTGACTTTAAAAGAGTTGCAGAGTTTAATGGCTGTGGTAGGAGAAAACTGAGGATGGATCAACCACATTGTAGTTACTCCACAATACTAACCTTATTGACAGAATGAAAAGAAGGAATCCTGTACAGAATACAAATATTCCAAAACATGCAACCTGTTTCCAACAAGGCACTAAAGTAATACTGCAAAAAATGTGGCAAAGAAATGAATACAAAGTGTTATGTTTGGGGCAAATACAACACATTACTGAGTACCACTCTCCATATTTTCAAGCATAGTGGTGGCTGCATCATGTTATGGGTATGCTTGTAATCGTTAAGATTTTTCAGGATAAAAAATAAACAGAATGGAGCTAAGCACATGCAAAATCCTAGAGGAAATCCATTTTCAGTCTGCTTTCCACCAGACACTGGGAGATTAATTCACCTTTCAGCAGGACAATAACCTTAAACACAAGGCCAAATATACACTGGAGTTGCTTACCAAGATGACATTGAATGTTCCTCAGTGGCCTAGTTACAATTTGGACTTAAATCGGCTTGAAAGTATATGGCAAGATTTAAAAAATTGCTGTCTAGCAATAATCAACAAACAACTTGACAGAGCTTGAAGAATGTAAAAATAATAATGGGCAAATATTGTACGATCCAGGTTTGCAAAGCTCTTAGAGACCTTCCCAGAAAGACTCATAGCTGTAATCACTGCCAAATGTGATTCTAACATGTATTGACTCAGGGGTGTGAATACTTATGTAAATGAGTTATTTCTGTATTTCATTTTCAATACATTTTCTAACATTTCAACAAAAAAAAAAATCACTTTATCATTATGGGATATTGTGTGTAGATTGAGATGTTTTATTTATTTAATCAATTTTGAATTCAGGCTGTAACACAACAATGTGGAATAAGTCAAGGGGTATGAATACTTTCTAAAGGCACTGTATTTATCCAGTTCATCAGCAGCATTATTAACTGATTTTAAGATGCTCTGGATAAGAAAGAGTGTCTGCTAAATTACTAAAATGTAATTATTATATAAGCATATTATTGAAATGTATCAACAATTATTCTGGCTACTACTTGATAAATAGCAGCCCTGTCCACTCTGCAGGCACATTAAACAAGGCTGTTTATTTTTAGGCCTATATGTGCAGTGATGGCTTTTTAGGTTATTCACTGCCATTTCAAATTACATTTGTCAGTATATTTCTGGGGCCTGTGGGCGATTTCAGAATCTGACTGTGGATCAGCGGTAACTGTCTGATTAATGATGAGGATGATGAACGCATTTCCGCGAACCCTGAACTGTTTCTACTGAAGACCCGTCAGAGGGACTTTAACACAGCCCTTCTGAACCGTCACAGACCTCTCTGTAAATATTTAAATTATGTCAGTGATAGTATCTCGCCCTTTAAAAGTTTTCCATTTTTATAAACTAATGGGGACTAACATGCACCTGTAGAAGAAATGGGTCTAACTGGACTTGACCTTGTAGCCCGGACCTATAGACTTAGGCATAGCTGTGGGAAGTAGAGGTGGTGCAGCACCCCCTGAGAAATCTGAATACAAAATTAAATAACTGTTTTTGGAGAAAAAAAATGTTTTTCACAAAAGTAGTGCACTTGTCCATTACTAGTATTAACAGACTGATATAGAAGGCTGTAGCGCAGGCGGCAACGTGTTTTCAGCATATCTGCTTTGGCAAAAAAGGTAGTTGTATAATTAAGAACAGTGTCTTGCAGGATTCCCACGGGGGGACAGTATGAAAATGTATGCACTCACTAACTGTAAGTCGCTCTGGATAAGAGCAATCCTAGGGTTGTGGGTTGTATCCACTCACTACTGTAAATTGCTCTGAATAATAGCCTCTACTAAAATGGAAAAGGAATTAATATACTATTTCAATTTTCACGTAGAAATAAGTTGCATTTGCAAAGTAAGAAACTGGAAAACATATATCAAGCAAGTACTTTTATATTCCACAAGTATTATCCTATTAACTGTACAGATTATTGTCAGACTCAAATTACTATTATTATTATATTATTATTATTATTTACATATACTGGTAAACACTCGAATACATTTACTAGTCCTGGATTAGCAGACCGATCTAGACTTCTTCAGACCGATCTAGACTTCTTCAGACCGATCTAGACTTCTTCAGACCGATCTAGACTTCTTCAGACCGATCTAGACTTCTTCAGACCGATCTAGACTTCTTCAGCGCGACAATTGTTTTACTATTTTCTCCCACGTCGGCAGCACCCCCACCTCCAAACTACTTCCCGTGGCTATGTACTTAGGCTATAAACAAATACCGTCTAAGGCCCTATACCAGATATTTGTCTTATTTAGTCAATATTGCGTGACATGCTCCAAGCATGTTTTATGGAGAGGTCGGCTGGTCGTAAAAAAATAAAAAAAAGTTAACTTTTACAACCTTTAGTTTCCGGTTATAGCAGATTGACGGTCTCTAATAGCCACTTGAAGGGTTTAACCTGACGTTAAACATACATGAACCGCTGCACGGATAGCGGGTGAGATTGTTTGACATGGATTACTTGTAATGTGTGCTGGCTATAGACAAAGGCAATTACTATAGGCTACAGTGATGGACGATTTTCCTAATATTAAAACACACTGACATATTGTATCTGACATATGCTAGGATAGGCCTGGTGTTTGCTCAATATGTAGAATAGTGAGTAGTAAAACTGAAGAAAAAATACTGGAGATTTTCTTTTACAACGGTTGTAAAGATAATAATAATTTATTTAAATGCATAGAATATTGTTGTGTGATCTTGAACATATTATTTCCTCATCGATTTAACAATTGTTGTCGAGGCCTATCATAACGATTTTAATGTATCTATGAATAATAATAATAATAATAATACAATTAGGCTAATCCATGTTTTATGAAGCATAATAGTAACGAATGTATTATAAATAAATAATACATTTAGCCTTTGAAATAGTTCATGGTCGATAGAATTCGTATTGATAGGCTATAGTTTTATGAAAGCACTAGGCCAAAAATTATAATTGGTCGATAGGCTACATTTCATATTTAGAAATAATGTATAAGCAATTGAAGATGATATAAATAAATCAGGCGATATCGAATTGGATCCCATTCTAGTTGTTTGTTCATATTAATTCATACTTTTTTCCCACTCAGAATATGTCCTGTAGTCTGCCCACGTGAAGTAGCCTATCAAATTCATGCAGGAAAGGTATAATTTACATCAAAGAAAAGCTTTATTTACAAATAATACGTGTATTATTAAGTACCTACAAATATAATTTCCATACAGTACATTTGTGATCTCAAAGAAAACGGAAAATCGTTATAGTGAGGGAAAGATGTCCACTGACAAATTGTATACATATTTTTTCTTCCCACTGATGTAGTAACCTACATCTCCTATACAGCTTTACAATTAACTCCCTATTCCATCTCAGAAACTAGTAATGAAAATAAAATGAACTTGGTTTATGCATACATCAAGAGTTTGCCAGTCGAAGTACAGTAAATGGAATAGAACGCTGCAGCCCGTCTGGTGTTCAACCTTCTCAAGTTCTCTCATGTCACCCCGCTCCTCCGCACTACGTTCATCCACCACTGGCCTGCTAGCCCCCCTACCTCTACGGAAGCACAGTTCCCGCTCAGCCCAGTCAAATCTACTCGCTGCTCTGGCAAGGGTGGAACAAGCTCCCCCACGACGCCAGGACAGCGGAGTCACTGACCACCTTCCGGAGACACTTGAAACCCTACCTCTTTAAGGAATACCTGGAATAGTATAACAGTAATCCTTCTACCCCCCCCCCCCCCCCCCCCCCCCCCACCATTAAATAAAAAGGGTGGTTGTCCCACTGGCTATCCTAAGTTGAATGCACCAATTTGTAAGTCGTTCTGGATAAGAGCGTCTGCTAAATTACTTAAATGTAAAAATAACGACAACATAACACTCGAGGCCTATGAGTCAATTGAGTAAAAGCGCATGCAATTTAAAACAATTTGTCTGATGATAATGTTTTATTTCTATCATTCGTTCACCACGCTCTGATCCCATGTAAAGAAGGCACTCCATTGCCGGACGGAAACGTGTTTTGAACGTTATTTAACTCCCCAACGCCGAAGTTCATGTAATTCCCGTTGTTTGGTGAGGGCTGGATAGACTGCACCGCAGTTGTGGGATAGTTACACGCATAGTTCGTATTACAGCCAGGACTGGGATAATTACTGAACGCTGGATAACTGTTATAAGTGAAATGGTTAAGGCCCACATTATATGAAGTATTATAGGTCGTCGAGTCTCCAAGGCAGGGCTTCCCGTCTCGGACCAGCACTGGGACTGAGATGCGTCTCGGCGGCGGGATACCGACCATCTCCAGGCTCTGGTCCTGTCGCTGTCTCTTGCACTTGTAGCGGCGGTTCTGGAACCAGATCTTGACCTGTGTGGGGGTAAGTTTGAGCACCGCGGCCAGGTGGTCTCTCTCCGGAGCCGACAGGTACTTCTGCTGCTTGAAGCGACGCTCCAGCTCATACACCTGCGCCTGTGAGAACAGCACGCGCGGCTTCCTGCGCTTCCGGGGTTTGGCGGGTCGATCCGGGTCCTCTGACTTCAGGTCCTCCACCGGCTCGCTCTGAGCGACGTAGGACATGTCTAGTGGAATAGAAATAACATAATAAATTAAGGACATTTTTAATTTAATTCCAGTATGCTAAATTGTATAAAGAACCCAAAAAAAGGAATTCAGCCTAAATACTTTTATGCAAGACTTGGTTTAGAATGTCAGACATTTAAGAAATTAGACAAACTTTCTAGGTCTGCCCTACATCCTAGAGTCCAAAAAGTCAAACAGGTTCAGTCGATTATGAAGGTGATTACTATATTTTCTCAATTGTAATCAAACTTCCATGGAACTGTTTGGTATCCTGATGAGAGAATTCAATCTAAAATGTTCTCCTTTATTGTAAAATAGATTAGGCCTCCTTATGACTGTTCTTAGTCCAGAATAAGTGTATAATATAGGAGTAGCATTACTATTACATCACTTGTGAAATGCCTTATATCCTTAGCCTACACATCTTTTAAAAGGCTTTCAGATTGTGTCTGACGCAAATCTGTTAGTACCTTGCATAACTATTCAGATTTTCACATGGGCTTACGTAGGGCTATTTCGATAGTAATATCATATAAACTGTTACCTTTTCTGTCTTTCCCCTCAAAGCTGTCAGTCTTGCCATCCTTGATGTCCATTTCTAAGAAAGATTTCCCATAGAAGGTAGATGCGAAGTTGAGGTCAGTATTTCTGTTGGCTTTAGCCACATGGAGCTCCTCACCAAACAGCGAGCCTCCAGACGATATCTCCCGGAGAGGCTCCTGTTTCAGGCGGGCCAGCATGCAGGAGGAGGTCGGTAAGGCACAGTCCATCCGTGGAGAGATGTCCAGTGAGACCAGGTCCTCAGCACTAGTGTGCTGCTCCAGGTTTAATATATCCTTAACCGAGAAGGGTGTGGACGTGCTGGGGCTGGAAAACATTGCCAAGGAACAGTTAATCTGACATATAAATGGCAACAAACCAATGATACCAAAATCTCCTTTTCTTGGTAATATTTACTGAGCTCAAGTACTCGTTTGTTTAACCGTGGGGGATCTTGACTGAAGTGTGCATCTTGACTATCAACTCGAGTCCCTAACATTTCTTGGCCTCTTTTCTGCGACGCGGGGGGAGAGAGGGGGGAGAAGAGGATGAGGGGGAGGTTAAATCTCTCATGAGACGTTGTTAGGGGGCTTCCTATTGGTGTTCCCAGTTCCGGTGACGTCAAAATAATAGCTAGTAAGGTAACCCTACATGTCCGTGCTGCATCTGAATCCTATTCCATTACGCACAGTCACAAACACGCCTTTTGTCGATGGTTGGAATTTATTATACATTTGTATTAATATTTCCCCATAAAATGTATATTGTTGAAGGCAAAAGGGAATAGAATAAATAATGTGACATGACCATAGGGACCAACATGTGTAGCAGCAAGACCATAGGGACCCACATGTCTCTTCCTCCGGGCATGTTGGTCCCTATGGTCATGCATGTTGGTCCCTATGGTCAACACTGGAACCCGAAACCATGTCCGTCTGTCGGGCACAGATCCTGGTGCCTACCGCTGGCCTAGCCATCAGGACGTGATAACAGACGACAACAAACCAGCACCCTCCAACCCACGCAGCGCAGCCGGGCCAGGAGTGTCACACATGCCATAACATTCTATAGTCATTCCTTATGACACATTCGTGTAGGCCTACTTGCAGCCATCATGTACAGGCTATGTACACAGTACAAATGTCTTATGAAATAAGTAGGGCCTATCATATGCCTAGTTATTCGATAATTCACGTTATTCTATAAAAATGCATCCAATAAAATATCTCTAGGCCAAGGTTTTTGGAGAGAATTAGTGTGCGTAAAGATTCCACGACGCGCTGAGAGGACCTCGCGCAGGGTTGGCATCACACCCATTATTAATGCTGGTGGAGACAGCGGTGCAGAGACAGACAGTATTATCGTTTGTTTTATCTCCAGCAGCGTTTAACACAGACCCCGGGAACTAAATGGGTCTCACTGTCTCCGACCCGGCTCGCGGTGTTTATAGTTTTAAAGACTATTTGCGCGCCTCGAAAGCTGATGAATGGTCGCGAGGAGGAGAGCGTCAACACTGCCGTGTATCGCGCAGCAATAATTGGTGAAATAAAGTAAACGAACCGAACTCAGACAAGCCTCAGTGCAGCGCATGGAAACCTTTTTTTCTTTCTTCATGACTTATTTTTTCCTCTTAGCGTGTGTAAACAATTAACATTGAGTTGGCTGCAGTCTGTTGTGACGAATCTCAATAAAAGTTTAAAGGCTATACACAGTTGGTGACAGACAGACCTGGCCTAGGACCTGCAGGCCTATCTGACCGAGTTTGAGTTAATTCCATTTCAGGCCTTAATTAATTTCATAACATGGAATTTCAGTTAAATTGACTTCAATTCTGCAAGCACTCTCTGTGTCAACTGCCCAAATTGAACATGACAGTCCTATTAGGCACTTGGTTCATATCCCTAATGCATTCTCTCTCTCGACGAAAAAATACAAACATGTAGGCTATGCACTCACTACTGTAAGTCGCTCTGGATAAGAGCGTCTGCTAAATTACTAAATGTTTTTAAAAAAGTAAAATGTATTTCTCTCTCTCTCTCCTTCCCTTCCCGACCCGTCTGTCTTCAGCACATCTCTAGTCAGATAAAGCGATAGATAAGGCCGCTTAAAAACTTCCGCTGGACTAGATAGTTGAGGATATTCTCGGGCGCTGTGCGTGTGTGTTTTATCTAATGAGTCTGTGACTTCCTGTGTGTGTCTACTGTGGGAGAGCGGCGCGAGAGAGACGCCACGCGCATTAGCACCAGGGACTGGAGTCTTTCCGCGGTCCTCGAGACCTGTCAATCATATTGGTGATCTTAAAACCTTTCTAATGGCGCTGACTAATTTCACATTTACATTTTAGTAATTTAGCAGACGCTCTTATCCAGAGCGACTTACTGTTAGTGAGTGCATACATTTGTTCTTCTTCATACGGTTCTGGAATTACCTTGGAAAGATAAACAGGTTTAGTCGTTGATCTGATAAATAATCGGTTTAAATATCGTCGATACTTAGCCTAATGGGAGTTGATATTGTTATGCCGTGTTCAATTATAGCCTATATTTAGGCCTACTTTACTGTGGGCTTTAATAGTTTCAATTAACCTGCCGTTCAAGTTAAATTAATTAGTGTGTGACTTAGACAACTTTTATTTTTTATTTTGTCACTGATTATGTGACAAGCGTAGACCATTTTTTTTTGTCTTGGCATTTAATTTAGATAAATTAAGATAAATCAATTTAGGCCTACATAATTATTGAAATAGTCATTTGTAAATGTAAAATGCTGTTTGATCAGACAATATTGGCAGGTATGATGCAGTTAAATGTTCGTTCTAAACGAAAAATAATAGATAGCCAATTTGATCATTATGAATTAGGATTTAGGCCTACTACATTTCTATAACCTAATTTACTCAATGCAAAAGATCATTTAGCTAGGTTCAATACATTTCTTCGTCAATCATCTGAGAATGTTGCCTATAGGCCCTTATAGCCTACCAAAATACAAATGTATTATATTTGAATTGTTAATAATTAAGATTAAATCATCCATACGAAGTTGACCTATTTAGGTTGTTTACAAACACTTATGGATTTGTTATGTAAATGACAAACACAACGAGTTATTGTTTGGTAGACCTAGAGCCAACGTGAAGTTATGTGTAGGCTAGATCTAAATAAAGTGGGAAAACATCATAATGAACAACTAACACATTACCTTATCATAAATATACGTTGTGTAATTATAAAATACATTCATAATACATTTGATTAAAATATGAACACGATTTAAAAATCAGAGCCCTCAATCATAATGGTTTAATCTTGTCTGGTTTTATTCTCCCAACATAGTTGGAACAAATTCCCCTCAAGTCTTTTTTTCACTCCCAACACCTGTTTGAGGTTGAAGAGTTCATCTGTTCCCCTTCATATAACTCTGTTCCCCTTCATATAACTCTGTTCCCCTTCATATAACTCTATTCCCCTTCATATAACTCTATTCCCCTTCATATAACTCTATTCCCCTTCAAATAACTATATTCCCCTTCATATAACTCTATTCCCCTTCATATAACCCTATTAACTGTAAGTCGCTCTGGATAAGAGCGTCTGCTAAATGACTAAAATGTAAAATGTAAATATAACTCTATTCCCCCCTGTATTAATTAATCCTCAGACCCAATACTGTGCTTCTGTTGCTCTCTCTCATTCCCCCACAGTCCAAGGCCGGACTACATGTGGTGACTGGTCTGTCACCCAGGTGTCCCTCCATCTCTCTCACACCCTGATTGTTCCATATAATATTAGCAACGGCTGGATGCAGATCAGATTTCCTGAATGGGTCATCTTTTGTTTTTCTGGCATAGCTGTGGCCAAGACAGAGGCTGTTCCTTGCTGTGTCACTGGCAGGCCTTTGAATAGTTAGGTCAGATTAGTACACAGACACTTGGGCCCCTCCTCTCTTAAATTACTTGAATGCGCTTTTTTTTTTTTTATCATTCAAAAAAAAAATATATATATATATATATGTACCTTTATTTAAAATATCTGTGGATTTTGTCACCCAGAATTGTGTTTTGTTTTTGGTGGCTCACATTTTTGTCAGTAGTCCCAGTACACCACCATGTGGCCGTTACTGTAGTTGAAGCAGTGTGTATTGTAATGTGTGAGCAGCCATGTGAAGTATCTTCTGTCTGTGCACCATTTGACTTCAATTCTCTGTCCCTCGCTCTCCTCTCCTCTCCATAGACCTCTCCCCCTCTCAGCTCATGTTCTGAGGCTTGGCCAGGGATCAGTGAGTGTGTTACTGAGTTCAAGGTAGTGTGATGGTCTCTATGGGATCTGGGATGATATGTGTTCTGGCCGTTATCACCTGCTGTTACAGTTTGGTCTACAGCTTTTCCCAGCTGATGTTGGGCCTCTTAGGTCTCAGATCTCTTCTCAATTAAAATGTTAAAGATAATCAATCATTGTCAAGATGGTGTAGTACAGGGGTATTCAAATCTTACCCTAGGACACATGTGCCAAACTTATTCCATGGAGGGCCAACTGTCTGCGGGTTTTTGCTCCAACCTTCTACTTGATTGATGAATTAAGGTCACTAATTAGTAAGGAACTCCCCACACCTGGTTGTCTTGGTCTTATTTGAAAGGATAAACCAAAAACCCGCAGACACTCGGCCCTCCGTGGAATGAGTTTGACACCCCTGCCCTACGAGCTCCGGAGCCTAATGGTTTTCTGTTCTACCTGATAATTAATTGCACCCACCTGGTGTCCCAGGTCTAAATCAGTCCCTGATTAGAGGGGAACAATGAAAGAAAGCAGTGGAACTGGCTTTGAGTTCCAGATTTGAATTTGAGGGGTGTAGTACAGTGTAGGCTAATACAGTTAGGTGGTTTGTATTGCCCATACCAAAGATATGTCCACAGGCTTACATTTTTCAGTGTTTGTGTGATAAATAATAGAAAGTGAAATGTAAGTTTGTTTCTTGTGTACATGGAATATATTTAGAAATATAAGACAGCTGTAGTCCTGGTACTATAGGAAGATCTGCCATGACAGCCTGTGCTCGTTATATAGTGATCATTGTAACTGAATTTCACAATAACATTTTAAAGGCGTAAGGGGGTATTTAAAGGTGTAATGCAATCACAGATGGTTGCATTTCTGTGTGATATGCCTCTGACCACAGCAACGTGTCCAACTGATTCTGAATAGTGTGATTGTGCAGTGTGTGGTTTGCCCTGAAGGAGGTGGTATCACACAATATTATGCTCTAGTGATCAGGGGCACATTCCGCAGGACACAACGTTTTAAAATGTTCAGATATAAATACGTTATGTAGAACAGACATGCCTCTCCGACCTGAGAACAAGGAATCATGTCTGCTCTATTCATGGCGTTACTATCTGCAATGTTTGACAACGTTTGGCAACTGAACGTTGCCCTGGTATTGAATAATACATTAATTGTAGCTGAGAAAGTCCACCCTCAGTCTCTTGTGCATAAAAATAATTCCTTGTCTTATCTTTGTGGTATGCATGTTTTTCAATGTATCTTTCTGGATCTTTGTGTCAATATTATATAGTGGTTATAATTCCTCTGAATTGTTGTCATGCCATGTGGTTCATGATCAGAGCTACCTACTGAACACAAAACCTTGATGAATAAACAGTGGATAAAATATCCACTAAAAAAGTCACTATGAATGATATCAAGATACAATTCTGTTGATTTTGATTTCATGAGTCCTTAGAGATTCATAGTACTGTATGTATACATATTATCAGACGGGTGAATTAAAACCATACCAGACCACATTCTGCATGGTCATTCTGATGCGGCTGCTAGTCCATGAGCACAACTGGGGGTGTAGAGGAAGTGATGCACAGTATGGAACACCGAGCAACAGCAAATAGGAAGCACTGTCAGTCTATTTCTCCCGGAACTAAATGCAGAAGATAGTGACAGAGTATGGAACAGATTGTCAGTTACAGTCTTTACATTCTTAATGGAGTTACACACCTGGTGCCCAATGATAAGTAAATTAACTGCAATAGGATGTCACATAATCTGAATAGACATGTCGAAGCATAGAGGGGCAGGAGAGCCTCCGTGACTGGCCAACAGACACCTCAGAACTGTAAGAAGAGGTGGAAGAAGGAACATGGGAGGAGGAGGAGAGAGAAAGAGAGAAAGTGTGTCTCCTCAGGAACCGTTGAGTGGAGTTCTCGTCCTCCTTTCCTCCTCTCTCTCTCTCTCTCTCTGTCTCCTCTCTCTCCTCTCTCTCTCTCTCTCTCTCTCTCTCTCTCTCTCTCTCTCTCTCTCTCTCTCTCTCTCTCCGCATGCGGCCGGCCAGCTCCTGGCTGTAGCCCAGAGGAATTCTCTAGTGGCCTTCGTAAATATACCATTTAGAATAACAGCAGAATGCAGCCGGAGCCCCAAAATGTGGACTTGTGGGGGTCCTCACTTGGGATTTGTCCCAATGGCACCCTATTCCCTATATAGTGCACTACTCTACAAAAGTAGTGCACTATGTAGGGAATAGAGTGCCATTTTAGCATAGGACTGTGGCCAGGAAGAGAGAGGGGGGGCAAGAACAGAACGTGTTCATACGTCCTCCTCTACCTCCTCCTCTTCCTCTACCTCCCCTGGTCTGACCTGGGGGTTATACAGGAAGACACTGTTGATTGACTGCTCTTGGTTACTTGATTGCATGCAACATTTTGACCGCAGAAACCTCAATATTTGTGTTATCTCCCTGGGCTAATGCCTAGGCGTTTAGCTCAGTGGGCTTTCATAGTCTTGTGGTGTCACGTTAGGGTACAGACTGGCTTCAGTTAGAGTGGTGAGTCTGGAGAAGGCTTCAACTGTACAGCGCTCTGTAACACACCTGTCAATCCTACTAATCAATCATACTACTGATGCTTAGTGAGATGCATTTACTGGGGTGCTACTGTCTGTCTGTAGCGTGTCTGTAGGACTGAATGCGAGTCCGTTCCCACAACAGAAACATTTGTACCTTTTGAGTCCAATAAAAGTTTAAATAATTAATCTTTAAACCGAGTCAATTGAAAATCTCCTTTGAATCTTCCTAGTGCTACTTGCTGTACGACATTGTCACCCCAGTCGAGTGCACTCTAGTAAACCTCAGCCTCACAGAGAGGAGTCACTACAGATGGAACCAGCATGTTGAGGCACCTGGATGCATGGGGGTTGCACATTAGCTGAGATCAGAGGAGGGGTTTCTGAGAGAACTAACCCTAAGCTATGTCTGCATCCCAATTGGCCCATACGGCCCTGGTCAAAAGCAGTGCACTCTGTAGGGAATAGGGTGCTATTTGAGACACTATGAATGTGCTGCTACAGACAGACGCTGTGTCCTGGGCGCCCTAATAGTAAGAACCCTAACGATGGAAGCTGGCCATTACAGAACGTACCAGTTTGTTTACTTTGGTAACCTATCATCATGCACTACATTTCTTTACATTTGAGTCATTTAGCAGACACTCTTATCCAGAGCCACTTACAGTTAGTGAGTGCATACATTATTTTTTTTGTATCCACTACAAGTCATATGTGCCAGAACTGGACTTCAAAACCTGTACAGTTTGTATTTAATCATCAAGTATCTAGAATTATAATACTAACAACACATTCCCACTTTGAAACAACAGCTGTATGTTACATATCTATAGATCGATGGGTGGTGATGGGTGGTGGTGAGGTATACAACAGAACACACCATGTACTATAATATTATAGTACATCAGTACTGCATATGGTGACTATATTTATACATGTTCATACTGTATAAATATAGATAAGTATATTTCTATGTACATTTGGATATTTAAACATTGCATAAACAATAAAATAAATAATACAAATATAATCAAATCTTACAGTGAGTACGATTTGAGAAACGCTATATTAGAGCCCAATAAAGTCCTAACACAAAATAATAATCATGATAATAATACTTATAATAAACAGAAACAACATCGGTGGACTACAATCTGGAGTAACTGAATGAGCTACACCATGTTACCCTGCAGATTTACCATTTGGGACTGCTGGAATGACTGGAGAGGAGCGGGAGAGAGAGAGCGAGTCTCTGTGTGTGTGTAGATGTGCGTGTATGTGTGTTTTTGCATGTATCTGTCTGTGTGTGTCTTTGTATGTGTGTGTGTGTGTGGGGGGGGGGGGGATGGGGATCAGGATAGTTAGGGTCCAATGTCTCTTTCACCTCCGGATGTCTGTGGCCTCAGGGTCTTCTTGCTCCGCCACCACCCCAGCCTCGGGGCTCTGTCGGCGGGGACCCTGGCTGCGGCTACGGGGATGGGCATTGAAGCCTCCTTTACTGGACTTGTCCCCCTGTCGGGGGGGTCGGGGGTGGTCTGGCTCAGAGTGGGGGGACCCGTGGCGGCGGTGGTCGGGGGAAGCCTGCCCGGGAGGGGGGGTGAGGGAAGAGCAGACACTCAGGCTGTCACAGAGAGCCCCCCAGTTCTGCTCACACTGCAGCCGGACACTCCTGGTTAAGGCCTCCTTCACCTCCTCCCCACAACTCAGTAGGATGTTGACCAGCTCCACATACGGCCTGCAGAGGCAGAGACAGAGATTATTATACTATTATATGAATATAGGGCTGGACATCCACAGCTTGATATGGGTGGTTTACCTTCTAGTTAATGGGGGAAGAGAGAGAAGAGGTAGAGGAAGGCAGAGAGAATGAAGCAGAGAGGAAGAGACAGACAACGGGTCAGAGAGAAAGAGAGACATAGTCCTCCTCACCCTTTAGGGAGAGAAGAAGGGATGAGACGGAGAGAGATAGAGAAAGACACTGATGAATACCACCATCCTCACCCTTTAGGGAAGAGGTCCTGGAAGTGGATCATCTCCACCATGACAGCAACGTTCTCCTTGGCTGCAGAACACAGGTTGTGTCTGAGGTAGCACTCTCTCTGCAGCTGGAACACCATCTCTTTAATGGCCAGGCACTTCCTGCTGATGCAGCTGAACTTGTGTCTCAGGCCGTGGGCCATGCACTTCAAAGCATCCTTGATGAACGACTTACCCTAAACACACACAGTAGATATAGAACACTCAACACTAACCCTTACCCTAAACACACACAGTAGATATAGAACACTCAACACTAACCCTTACCCTAAACACACACAGTAGATATAGAACACTCAACCCTAACCCTTACCCTAAACACACACAGTAGATATAGAACACTCAACCCTAACCCTAAACACAGTCATATAGAACACTCAACCATTAATGATTGTATTTAACTTTTATTTTACCAGGTAAATTGACTGAGAACACGTTCGCTTTTACAGCAATGACCTGGGGAATAATTGCAGGTTGAATGGACCAATTAGAAACTGGGGATTATTGGATTGGTTGATTGTGGTGAACCTGCTAAACCTGCTAACCCCTGAACATACAGTGCCTTCGGAAAGTATTCAGACCCCTTGACTTTTTCCACATTTTGTTAGATTACAGCCTTATTCTAAAATGGATTCAATTGTTTTTTTTAACCTTATCAATCTACACACAATACCCCATAATTGCCAATTTATAAAAATATAAAAAACGACCCTTTACTCAGTACTTTGTTGAAGCACCTTGGGCAGCGATTACAGCCTCAACTCTTCTTGGGTATGATGCTACAAGCTTGGCACACCTGTATTTGTGGAGTTATTCTCTGCAGATCCTGTCAAGGTCTGTCAGGTTGGATGGGGAGCGTTGCTGCACAGCTATTTTCAGGTCTCTCCAGAGATGTTCGATCGTGTTCAAGTCCGGGCTCTGGCTGGGCCACTCAAAGACATTCAGAGACTTGTCCTGAAGCCACTCCTGCGTTGTCTTGGCTGTGTGCTTAGGGTCGTTGTCTTGTTGGAAGGTGAACCTTCGCCCCAGTCTGAGGTCCAGAGCGCTCTGGAGCAGGTTTTCATCAAGGATCGCTCTGTACTTTGCTCCGTTCATCTTTCCCTCGACCCTGACTAGTCTCCCAGTCCCTGCCACTGAAAAACATCCCCACAGCATGATACTGCCACCACCATGCTTCACCGCAGGGATGGTGCCAGGTTTCCTCCAGACATGAAGCTTGACATTCAGGCCAAAGAGTTCAATCTTGGTTTTATCAGACCAGAGAATGTTATTTCTCATGGTCTGAGAGTCTTTAGGTGCCTTTTGGCAAACTCCAAGCGGGCTGTCATGTGCCTTTTACTGAGGAGTGGCTTCCGTCTGGCCACTCTACCATAAAGGCCTGATTGGTGGAGTGCTGCAGAGATGGTTGTCCTTCTGGAAGGTTCTCCCATCACCACAGAGGAACTCTGGAGCGCTGTCAGAGTGACCATCGGGTTCTTGGTCACCTCCCTAACTAAGGCCCTTCTCCCCCGATTGCTCAGTTTGGCCGAGTGGCCAGCTCTAGGAAGAGTCTTGGTGGTTCCAAACTTCTTCCATTTAAGAATGATGGAGGGCACTGTGTTCTTGGGGACCTACAATGCTGCAGACATTTTTTGGTACCCTTCCCCAGATCTGTGCCTCGACACAATCCTGTCTCAGAGCTCTCCGGACAATTCCTTCGACCTCATGGCTTGGTTTTTGCTCTGACATGCACTGTCAACTGTGGGACCTTATATAGACAGGTGTGTGCCTTTCCAAATCATGTCCAATCAATTGAATTTTTTATAATTTGGCAAACATTTCTAAAAACCTGTTTTCGCTTTGTCATTATGGGGTATTGTGTGCAGATTGATGAGGGGGTAAATTATTTAATCAATTTTAGAATAAGGCTGTAACGTATCAAAATGTGGAAAAATCAAGGGGTCTGGACAGAGCCTGTTCTACCTGTCTGAAAGGGGATCTGGCTGGGAATGGTGCCAGCTGCCTGGAGCCCTCTGCTCTGATACACAGACCTGACCTCCATGGGAGAGGAAAGGGGACTGGGGCATACACGCACGCACGCACGCACGCACGCACACACACACACACACACACACACACACACACACACACACACACACACACACACACACACATACACACAGACACACACACCCACACACACACACACACACACACACACAGACACACACACACACACACACACACACACACAGACACACACACACACATACGCACATGTTGGCTCCAGATGCAAACACACTCAATAAATCCATGTGTGCACTAACTTACATGCATGTACACATGCCAGGTCGCAGTTGTAAATGAGAACTTGTTCTCAACTGGCTTACCTGGTTAAATAAAGGTGAAATAAATACACATGTAGACTTAAACACACATACACACACACACGCAGTGTTTTACCTGGGAATCGAACTTTCCGGCATTGTGTAGGAAGGTCAGACAGATCTCCTGCAGGCCTCTGATCTCACAGGAGTTGTTCTCAAAACATTCAAACACACCGCAGCCCACGTCTCCTGCACTCACCAGACAGTGCTGTATCTCAGCTGGATGGAGAGAGAGAGATGGAGAGAGAGATAAAGAGAAAGATGGAGAGAGAGACGGCGAGAGAGAGAGTTGTCACTGACAGTTACAGTCTACTATCAAGCATCAACCTGTATCCCCATTACATGTAGTGATACAGGCCATGGTCTTAAGCATAGTCTCTAAGCTGTTATTTCCTTGTTGTCTCTAAACTGTTATTTCCTTGTTGTCTCTAAGCTTTTATTTCCTTGTTGTCTCTAAACTGTTATTTCCTTGTTGTCTCTAAGCTGTTATTTCCTTGTTGTCTCTAAACTGTTATTTCCTTGTTGTCTCTAAGCTGTTATTTCCTTGTTGTCTCTAAACTGTTATTTCCTTGTTGTCTCTAAGCTGTTATTTCCTTGTTGTCTCTAAACTGTTATTTCCTTGTTGTCTCTAAGCTGTTATTTCCTTGTTGTCTCTAAGCTGTTATTTCCTTGTTGTCTCTAAGCTGTTATTTCCTTGTTGTCTCTAAACTGTTATTTCCTTGTTGTCTCTAAACTGTTATTTCCTTGTTGTCTCTAAGCTGTTATTGCCTTGTTGTCTCAGAGCTCTTATTTCCTTGTTATCTTCTTTTTAACCTTCTAACCTAAGGTTCTAGGCTCCTTTTCTCAAATAGAAACCACCTTGGGTCAGTATTGTGTGTGTGTGTGTGTGTGTGTGTGTGTCCCCCATGTGTAATAAACAAAAACATTTATTACAAAAAAAGTATTTCAGGATTTCATCGTTTCCCACCAGGTTACTCTCTGGCCAATCAGTAACATGAATAATTCAGTTAGGGAGAAAAGAAAAGGGTACTTTGGTCTGGACGTCCAGGCTGGGATTTGAATTCCCCTGGCAGAGAGACTGGCTCCTATGTGGACCCTGATAAAAAGTAATGCACTATATAGGAAATAGGGTGCCATTTGGGATGCACATTCTTTCTACTGTCAGTGTAGTAGATGAATACTAAACCAGCCTCCAGGCTTCGGCGCCAGAGATAAGAAAACAACATCTCTCCTCTTCTCTCCACAGAGAGACGAATGCAGATGAATGCAGGGTGACAGAGAGATTATTACTGTGTCATTCTGCGTCAAAATACATCTGCATTGCCTGGCGTGAGGATAGGAGGGGATGCTGCACTGCAGATACAGATACAGCGTTGGGTACTAGAAGAGAAAATACAAACGCAGAAGTTATTTCTATTGTGCTTTTACTGAGTTGAAGTCAACAGGTGTCAGTTTTCCTGGTATTAAACTATCATGTAGATGAGAGTGACTGTGTATTAGTTTATATATAATTAGTATTTCCTGTCTGTGTTGCCAGTATACATATTTGACCCCTGTCTACTTTTCACAGGATCTTTTTAAGTGGCTGCCTGGCCGGGCTGCTGTGGGGAGATGGACTGGACGCGCAGGTCAGTGGCCCTGTCCCAAATGGCACCCTATTCCCTACACTACCGGTCAAAAGTTTGGACACACCTACTCATTCAAGGGTTTTTCTTTATTTTTACTATATTTTTTACATTGTAGAATAATAGTGAAGACATAAAAACTATGAAATAACACATATGGAATCATGTAGTAACCAAAAAAGTGTTAAACAAATCTAAATGTATTTTAGATTTGAGATTATTCAAATAGCCACCCTTTGACTTGATGATGGCTTTGCACACTCTTGGCATTCTCTCAACCACCTTCACCTGGAATGCTTTTCCAACAGTCTTGAAGGAGTTCCCACATATGCTGAGCACTTGTTGGCTGCTTTTCCTTCACTCTGCTGTCCATCTCATTTGGGTTGAGGTCGGAGGATTGTGGAGGCCAGGTCATCTGATGCAGCACTCCATCACTCTCCTTCTTGGTAAAATAGCCCTTACACAACCTGGAGGTGTGTTGGGGCATTGTCCTGTTGAAAAACAAACGATAGTCCCTCTAAGCCCAAACCAGATAGGATGGCGTATCGCTGCAGAATGCTGTGGTAGCCATGCTGGTTAAGTGTGCCTTGAATTCTAAATAAATCACAGACAGTGTCACCAGCAAAGCACCCCCACACCATAACACCTCCTCCTCCATGCTTTATGGTGGGAAATACACATGCGAAGATCATCCGTTCACCCGCACCGCGTCTCACAAAGACACGGCGGTTTGTACCAAAAATCTTCAATTTGGACTCCAGACCAAAGGACAAATGTTTCTTGGCCCAAGCAAGTCTGTTCTTATTGGTGTCTTTTAGTAGTGGTTTCTTTGCAGTAATTCGACCATGATGACCTTATTCACGCAGTCTCCTCTGAACAGTTGATGTTGAGATGTGTCTGTTATTGAACTCTGTGAAGCATTTATTTGGGCTGCAATTTCTGAGGCTGGTAATGCTAATGAACTTATCCTCTGCAGCAGAGGTAACTATGGGTCTTCCATTCCTGTGGCGGTCCTCATGAGAGCCAGTTTCATCATAGGCTTGATGGTTTTTGCGACTGCACTTGAAGAAACTTTCAAAGTTCTTGAAATGTTCTGTATTGACTGACCTTCATGTCTCAAAGTAATGATGGACTGTCGTTTCTCTTTGCTTATTTGAGCTGTTCTTGCCATAATATGGACTTGGTCTTTCACGAAATAGGGCTATCTTCTGTATACCCCACTACCTTGTCACAACACAACTGATTGGCTCAAACGCATTAAAAAGGAAATAAATTCCACAAATTAACTTTTAAGAAGGTACACCTGTTAACTGAAATGCATTTTATATCTCAAATATAAAATATATTACATGATTCCATATGTGTTATTTCATAGTTTTGATGTCCACTATTATTCTACAATGTAAAGAATTGTAAAAAATAAAGAAAAACCCTTGAATGAGTAGGTGTGTCCAAACTTTTGACTGGTAGTGTAGATAGTGCACTATATTTGGGACATATCAAATGTCTCTGGTAAGACCAGTGGTTGATGTTTACATTGAAATCGAGTATCCAAATATACAGAAGAGAAGATATACAGTGCCTTCGGAAAGTATTCAGACCCCTTGACTTTTTCACATTTTGTTAGGTTACAGCCTTATTCTAAAATATATATATATATTTTATGTTGGCCATCAATTTACACACTATACCCCATAATGACAAAGCAAAAACAGGTTTTATACATTTTTGCTAATTTATAAATTTAAAAAAAACCCGGATATATGACATTTACATAATTTTTATTTTTTATTTTTTTATTTTATATAAGTATTCAGACCCTTTACTCAGTACTTTGTTGAAGCACCTTTGCCAGCAATTACGGCCTCGAGTCTTCTTGGGTATGACACTACAAGCTTGGCACACCTGTATTTGGGGAGTTTCTCCTATTCTTCTCTGCAGATCCTCTCAAGCTCTGTCTGGTTGGATGGGGAGCGTTGCTGCACAGCTATTTTCAGGTCTCTCCAGAGATGTTCGATTGTGTTCAAGCCCGGGCTCTGGCTGGTCCACTCAAGGACATTCATAGACTTGTCCCGAAGCCACTCCTGCGTTGTCTTGGCTGTGTGCTTAGGGTCGTTGTCCTGTTGGAAGGTGAACCTTCGCCCCAGTCTGAGGTCCTGAGTGCTCTGGAGCAGGTATTTTTTATTTTTTATTTTTTACTTTACCTCCTTTTCTCCCCAATTTTGTGATATCCAGTTGGTTGTTAAAGTCTTGTCCCATCGCTGCAACTCCCCTGTGGACTCGGGAGAGGCGAAGGTCGAGAGCCATGCGTCCTCCGAAACACGACCCTGCCAAGCCGCACTGCTTCTTGACACACTGCTCGCTTAACCCAGCCGCACCAATGTGTCGGACGAAACACCTTCCAGTTGACGACCGAAGTGAGCTTGCAGGCTCCCAGCCCGCCACAAGGAGTCGCTAGAGCGCGATGGGACATGGAAATCCCGGCCGGCCAAACCCTCCCCTAACCCGGACAACGCTGGGCCAATTGTGCGGTGCCGCCTCATTGGTCTCCCGGTCACGGCCGGCTTTGACCCAGCCTGGGATCGAACCCGGGTCTGTTGGAGCAGGTTTTCATCAAGGATCTCTCTGTACTTTGCTCCGTTCAACTTTGCCTCGATCCAGACTAGTCTCCCAGTCCCTGCCGCTGAAAAACATCCCCACAGCATGATGCTGCCACCACCATGCTTTACTGTAGGGATGGTGTCAGGTTTCCTTCAGACGTGACGGTTGGCATTCAGGCCATAGAGTTGAATCTTGGTTTCATCAGACCAGAGAATCTTGTTTCTCATGGTCTGAGAGTCCTTTAGGTGCCTTTTGGCAAACTCCAAGCGGGCTGTAACGTGCCTTTTTACTGAGGAGTGGCTTCCGTCTGGCCACTCTACCATAAAGGCCTGATTGGTGGAGTGCTGCAGAGATGGTTGTCCTTCTGTAAGGTTCTCCCATCTCTACAGAGGAACTCTAGAGCTCTGTCAGTGACCATCGGGTTCTTGGTCACCTCCCTGACCAAGGCCCTTCTCCCCCGATTGCTCAGTTTGGCCAAGTGGCCAGCTCTAGGAAGAGTCTTGGTGGTTCCAAACTTCTTCCATTTAAGAATGATGGAGGCCACTGTGTTCTTGGTGATCTTCAATGCTGCAGACATTTTTTGGTACCCTTCCCCAGATCTGTGCCTCGACACAATCCTGTCTCGGAGCTCTACGGACAATTCCTTCGACCTCATGGCTTGGTTTTTGCTCTGACATGCACTGTCAACTGTGGGACCTTATATAGACAGGTGTGCCTTTCCAAATCATGTCCAATCAATTGAATTTACCACAGGTGGACTCCAATCAAGTTGTAGAAACATCTCAAGGATGATCAATGAGCTCAATTTCGAGTGTCATAGCAAAGGGTCCTGAATACTTATGTAAATAAGGTATTTCTGTTTTTAATTTTTAATAAATTGGCAAACATTTCTAAAAACCTGTTTTCACTTTGTCATTATGGGGTATTGTGTGTAGATTGCTCAGTATTTGTATTTATTTAATCAATTTTAGAATAAGGCTGTAATGTAACAAAATGTGGAAAAAGGCAAGGGGTCTGAAACCTTTCCGAAGGCACTGTTTGTAACAGTCCATTCCAGGTCTGTAATAGGGTGGCAGTTGGCACCACCCTTGGGCCTCTCGCTGTCCGTGTAACTCAGTTGGTAGAGGTTCGATTCCCACAGGGGGCCAGTATGAAAGACAAAGTATGAAAATGTATGTACTCACTAATGTAAGTCACTCTGGATAAGAGTGTCTGCTAAATTACTAAAATGTCAATGTTATACAACTTTATACAACGCCTGGCGGGTGGAAGCCAAGGAGGACAGGAATAAAACAAATGATAGTGGACCGAAATGAAATGACCAGGAGAGAGGGAAAAGTCTGCCTGTTAACCCCAAATGGTAGGATATTTAGAGAGGCCTTCCCAAAGGAGAAAAGCAGCCATTTTCCGTTTCTGTAAAGGGTTGTGTAATGTATAGTGTATATGACACACTGTGTTAGGCTACACATACTGTAGGTCTATTATAAGTGTTTATTTTGGACTCTACAGGTTCAAAACATTTATTTTAATAACTTCTGTAATCAGTCTTCAAGACCCACAGAGAGAGTGAGTCCCCATCAGTTGAGAGCTGAAAGGTTCTGCATCTCCCTCTCCTCTCCTCCAGTCACTGTCCACATGGGATAGAATCACTAACTACATCAATATGGGCCGTTGAGAAAGGGTCAGAATGAGAAAAAAAAATGGCTTTAGACGTCGTAGGATATACAGAGTCTTGGATATACAGTATGTCTTAGTTGGAGATATGCATTAATATACCTATAGCATTTCAACACCGGATCACTATAAGTGTGATATTTGATAGCCTAGGCAGATTAATCTCACGAGCGGTCAGAGTAAATAACGAATGAACGCAGTAGACTTATTTGAGAAATGATGCTTGTCAACAAGGACTGCTCTGTTGGGGGGAGAGGTGTGTGTCTGTGTGTGTGTTTGTGAGAGAGAGAGCGAGAGGCAGAGAGAGAGAGAGAGAGAGAGGCAGAGAGAGAGAGAGAGAGAGAGAGAGAGAGAGAGAGAGAGAGAGAGAGAGAGAGAGAGAGAGAGAGAGGAGAGAGAGAGAGAGAGAGAGAGAGAGAGAGAGAGAGAGAGAGAGAGAGAGAGAGAGAGAGGGAGGGAGAGAGAGGGGGGGGGGGGGGGGGGGTAAGGTATGTAGGCACTGGGTTGAACTTTGGTGCGCTGCAGGAAAAGTGAGCCGCTGTCGGCAGCGAGTGCTTGTGTTGGCGTTTACACGGGAATGTGTCTGGATCGAACGAGCTGGCCGCAACGTGCATTGAATTACACAGTGGTGTGGGACTCTGACTGACTGAGGGACTCTACTGTGCAGAGCTGCATCGGAGCTGTCCCTGCAACTACAAGGATTAAAACCCTTACATTCTCATGAGTTTTATATTGATTACATGAATTGATTAATGGAGATAAGTATTTCATAATATTGGTTATTGTAAATAGACTGTAGGCCTTTCCTAAGGGAATAGGATTCCTGTTAAGAATGCTGAAACAACAGCCCTGCGTGAGGCGATTGCATCATTCCCTATCAGCATGCTTTGTAGGAGCCTAACAATCAACAGTTAAAGCCTGGAGTACACTGTCAGGGCTCAGACACCAATAGCTTTGCTGGACGAGAGTACTTAACATCTCGGAACGTAATTTGCGAACCGATTTTACATGTAGAATCGTGTGAAAAATGTCGGCAGTCAGACGTCTGCAGCGGGAGGTCCCTAAAACACAGCGCGCTGAATTTTCGGCAGATGAACACTAGTTCCACGTTCAGTGCGATGTGTGCGAGCCTTAAAGGGGTTTCCATGAATTTCACAGTATCTTACAGGCAGCTCAGTGGCGAGTAAAATTCTGTATTTCATATTACAATAGCGTAAAATGTACTGTATTATACTTAAGTAATAAGGCCTGAGGGGTGTGCTATATGGCCAATATACCATGGCTAAGGGCTGTTCTTATGCACGACGCAAAGCGGTGTGCCTGGATACAGCCCTTAGCCGTGGTATATTGGCCATATACCACAAACCACAGAGGTGCCTTATTGCTATTATAAACTGGTTACCAACGTAATTAGAGCAGTAAAAATAAATGTTTTGTCATACTGTCAGACAATCAGGATTCAGGGCTTGAACAACCCGGTTTATAATGTAAAATAGTCAATGCTACCATAATCTGAATGAATTAATGAATGGATGAATTAAATTCATTGAGGGGAGGGGTTTGTATTTCACAGTATGTTACTGTAATTACAAGGGATTGGTGCAAGCAGCTTGGTGTTTTCACATTACAGCATATTCATGAATATTTTGTGTTTTATATCACCTGCACTTCTAGAGGCCTTAACAAAGGGTTTCAAACTGGCAGCGACTACAGGGCAAAACAGACCAAAAGGACATGGCAAAATGCTCAAACATTTAGTTTAAGACTTGCTGCCACTCCAATCTGGCCCCTATACATTTTAAATTGATGGGGCACTATAACCACATAGGACTTAAATTGGTACAGCATTCTCACTCACATGTGCAACAAATATAGCCTCTTACATGGCAGCCTTAAAATATGTTAATGAGCCAGAAACAACAACACCATGCACCCACTAGTGGTCAAAGGGTTTTTGGTGCTCCAAAGATACAGTAAGGCACTGTATTCTGTTGGGTGGAATTACAGTAATATTCTAAATACAAAATGTCCCCCCCAAAAATATACAAATATACAATTTTCCCATAATGCACCATAATGTACAGTATGGTGTAGTTAAATATTTCAGAGTTTTTTTAAACGTTTGATAATACCTAAAATTACCTTAGAAATTACAGTTGTCCATTACAGTCATTGGCGATTTTAGGATGTAAATCTTGGTGGGGCAAAAAAAAAAAAAAAAGGTTTTAGATGCATGCCAGCAAAGCCATTGCAAAATACAACACTAAACAATACATGAATTGCACTATAACGGTGACAAACGCTGCCCACAAACTGTTAGGGCCTACATAAAGCTGTCCCAACAGCAAAGCTTTCTTTTCAGCACCATGGAGTGAATCCTTACCACCACCACACCTGGCTATCAGCGGAGCCTTGTCTGGCAGCGAAACAGTTCATTCAGCCTCATTTACTGCCTTTAAAAAAATCATAGATGATATGGCTGACTTGCTTAAACAAATTTGGTTTCTACTGACAATTGAGATGTACAAACTATGGCATAAGGGAACGACGAGCGGATAAGAGGCAATCCATAATTTCGATTAAGACATTAATGAGCGAGCTAAGACGGACGTAGTCAATATAACTGTTTGTTCAGCACTTTTGAAATGTACAGCGACATAATTCAGAACATGGGCTGTTCTTATAGTATTCTCCCTGTACACCAAGTCAGAACCGTAGGATAAATAAAGGGGGCATATAATATTTTTACAATATTTGATGATGACATTTCTCTAAAACAGGCTTTAGGCTACATGTGCACCACCAAGTCAGAACAGTAGGCTAAGTTGTGAGGGTGAAATGGATCAAATTATTAGGGTGAGTAACATGGGCTACTAACAGCTTACTACACAACATACACTTAGTATTACTTTCTTAGCTACAGTATACATATCTCCCTGGCATATTACATCATTTATGCAGCAGCATACAATATATTTTTGGACTCACCGTTGTGCTGTGCTCACTTGAACAGGTAGGTGGTGCGGCGTTCCTTCTTGTGGGCAAATTTTGTCATTAAACTTTGTCATCAAAGTCTGGCATTCTCTGGATTTATGGTGCTTTCAAGACAACTGGGAACTCGGAAAAAGACAAGGTCAAATCATGACGTCAGTGTTATTCAGGTCGCTCTAGAAAGAGGCCCGAGTTCCCGACTTGGAATTCTGAATTGGATGACTGTTCAAAATGTATTTTTCCAGTCGGAGGTAGTTTTTTTCAGAGTTCCCAGTTGTCTTGAACTCACTGAAGTCTGAGATTTCCCAGTTCCGAGTTTCCAGTTGTTTTGAATGCGGCAGAAGTCATGCTGGATTGACAACATGGCCAATGTATTCAACCTTTTCTGGCCCATGGTGTTGCGTGTGAATGTTTATCCTTTTAAGCTTGGAAAAGAGACCCTTAAACCCAGACTTGGACCACACAACCTCTCCACCGAATAGCAGCGGAAGCAAAATAGTGATTGCTTTCCAACCACTCATTGTTGAATTAACGATTTCCAACTAGTTGTGTAATGTTTATGTCCAATGGCCGATGAGCACCGATACGTTTTATCTATAATTTCTCTTCATATGACAAGGATTGAAAAGGATTTGCCAGTAGATTGTCGACTTGATTCATAATGATGACTGCTAGCTACGATTTTGAAAGTATGATGTTGACATGATCAGTCCAATCAAAGCTACGGTAGGCATAACGTGATTTGACGTTATTTTATCTGTGGCCAATGACCTTGACCCTTCTTGTATGGGCACTTCTAATGTAAATCTATGGCAGAATCCAAGGGGGCTTGAACTTTCTAGATCTACCTGTAGATTTTGCGGTGAGTAGTGTCCCCATGATTGACAGAACACTGAGCCAATCACGAAGTAACTAGAGAAGATTACCAACCCTTACACTCTGTATTTTCCACTGGCTGCCCCTCCACCACAGAAAGCACTGAGCTAGGCTGAAACACCTGCCCTGAATGACGGTCGCCACCGATTACAGTGTAGCCTAGGCTCTATTTCAACCACATGACAATCACTCATCTGTGGTAGCCTGCTCATAGGCTAAGTTATTTTGCCAAATTTCTTTCATTTAAATGCAAAACGCATACTGGTTGCCAATGGATCAGCTGGATGTTGGCTAACTTTGAACCAATCACATTGAGCATACCCGGGAAAAAAACGTAATCACACACACTCCAACACACACACACGCGCATACACACACACACACCTAGAGGCGCTGCCATATATATTAAATATAATCACCTACCTTGTGCCTATCTATTAATAGTTTACTAACATATTGAATTTATTTATCCCTGTATTTGCAACATATCCACTTTCTGGATCATCTGAAAAGGTATTCTCATCCATGATAAAAAACAGTATTTCGGTCAAGAAACTGAAGAACGCAGAGTGAGAGTGGGAGAGAGAGAGGGAGAGAGAGTGGGAGAGAGAGAGGGAGAGAGAGTGGGAGAGAGAGAGGGAGAGAGAGTGGGAGAGAGAGAGGGAGAGAGAGTGGGAGAGAGAGGGAGAGAGAGTGGGAGAGAGAGAGGGAGAGAGATCGAACGTGTTCCTCGCTCTAAAATCCACAGCGCGGTGAGCACGTGCACACACAAGCATGCGGTACTGCTCGCGCAAATGTGTCCCACATCATTTCAACATCGACCCACTTCCCATACCAAGTCAGTCTGCATTCTCTCTCTCTCTCTCTCTTTCTCTCTGTGCGTGCGTGAGTGCGTGTGTGTGTGCTCTTTATTACCTGTGTTCTGCAGAGACATACGGCCTTTCTGGCTCGCCGGTTTCTCTGACGGGTTGTCATGAACATCAATATTATCCAATCCCACCACTTGCTCCAAAACTGACAAAACCAGCAGCGCGATTGCAAATTTCACCAACATTTCTGCCTCACTATCTGCGAAGACCTGTGTATAGTCTGCCTTCCCTTCGCTCTGAAACAATGATGCAGTGTTGTATCGGAAACGGTCCAACCAGCCAGTCTGCTCTCTGTGGTAACTCGTAGCACACACTGCTGTGGACTGTATTCAAGCAGGCAGCGCAGAGAGAGAGAGAGTGAGCGCTGGGACGGCAGGGATGCTGCCTATATTTCCCAGAGCCAGGGCGGGTCGTCAATTTAGATGGAGTCAAGCAGGTGTTGTCAGCCAAGCTCAGCGACCAATCAGAGACACAGACATCCACGTCCAAGGTTGAGAGGGGAGTGTCCAGTGAAAGTCCCGTATTTCCATAAAAGCTCTTGTAAAAAAAAAAAGTGTCTATGAGTAGGTGGTTATTTACTAGTGTTTGGCTAAGAAACCTATGTCTCTTGTTGTTGCTTATTGGCAAACATATTTTCACACAACATATGAGGAAACAGTGTATTGATTGGTATTATATTGTTCCCAGCACTAGCCTTAATGTATTTGCGCTCTAATATATTTGCTGTGTTATTACATGTTTATATTTATGATTTTGTTGTTTATTACAGTTGCACTATCCACTATGCCTATATGCATGCACAATTCCCAATGGATCAGTAAAGTATTAACTCATGCATGTGCACACTGTCAGTGCATCCTCTCCAGGAGAAACTGTAGCAAGAGACTGTTGCAGTTTCCAAGAGAAACTGAACAGATTGTCAAAGTTCTTGCCCTACTTGCCCTACTTTCACTGAATTCACTCCTTTCATGGACAGTCAGTCAGTGGACTCTTGGTCCATGCAGGTGTTGGTGTTGTCCTGGAGGCATGTATGTTCTAAACTGGAGCAGGCAGGAACTGGAGAGGCATGGTGGGATTCTCATCAAACACACACACTGGGAGACCCATAGCTGAGGCTGGCTGGTATGGTGCACCATCATGCCAGAGCCTAGACAATAAGGGAAGAGAGGAGGAAAGGAGGAGGAGGAGGAGGAGGAGGAGGAGGAGGAGGAGGAGGAGGAGGAGGAGAGAAGAGCGGGTGGCAGGACAGTGACAGGCTGGTAACGTTTGGCAGGGATTGCATCATTCGGAAGCCACCCCCTACAGGCAGACCAAACACTCAGAGAGAAACACAGGAACACAGTGTGTGTGTGGTGGTGGTAATGTGTGGACGTGTTTAACTGCTAACTATTAACTATCAACACTATTAACACACCATTATCGCCTCCAAGCTTGTCACCCTCATGAAGTGCTTTGAGAGGCTGGTTATGGTACACATTAACTCTACAATCCCAGCCACCCTAGACCGACTCTAATTTGCATACTGCCTCAACAGATCAATAGATGACGCAATCTCAATTGCTCTCCACACTGCCCTCACCCACCTAGATAAGAGGAATACCTATGTGAGAATGCTGTTCATTGACTACAGCTCAGCGTTCAACACCATTATCCCCTCCAAGCTCGTCACCAAGGTTAGGACTCTGGGTCTGAACACCTCCCTCTGCAACTGGATCCTGAACTTCCTGACGGGCCAACCACAGGTGGTGAGGGTAGGAAACATCACCTCCACCACGCTGACCCTTAACACAGGGGCCCCACAGGGTTGTGTGCTTAGTCCCCTACTGTACTCCCTGTTCACCCACGACTGTGTGGCCACGCACGACTCCAACACCATTATCAAGTTCGCTGACGGCATGACAGTGGTAGGCCTGATCACCGGTGAAGATGAGTCAGCCTACAGGGAGGAGGTCAGTGACCTGACAGTGTGGTGCCGGAGCAACAACCTCTCCCTCAACGTCAGCAAGACCAAGGAGCTGATCATGGACTACAGGAGAAGGGGGGGCGGCAGTGGAGCAGGTAGACAGCTTCAAGTTCCTCGGTGTCCAAACGAAATACTTAAAATGGTCCAAACACGCACAGTCATGAAGGCTCAACAGCGCCTTTTTTCCCCCTCAGGAGGTTGAACAAGTTTGGCATGGGCCCTCAAATCCTGAAAAGGTTCTACAGCTGTACCATTGAGAGCATATTGACTGGCTGCATCACTGCTTGGTATGGCAATAGCACCGCCCTCGATTGCATGGCGCTACAGAGGGTGGTGCGGACAGCCCAGTACATCACTGGGGCCAAGCTCCCTGCCATCCAGGACCTCTATATCAGGCAGTGTGAAAAGAAGGCCCGGAAAACCGTCAAAGACCCCAACCTCCCAAGCCATAGACTATTGTCTCTGCTGCAGCACAGCAAGAGGTACCGGTGTATCAAGTTTGACACCAACAGCTTCTATCCCCAAGCTATACGACTGATAAAAAGCTAACAAAATAGCTACATGGACCGAGTTTACCTTGTAGCTTTATTGACCTTTTATTTCAGTATTTGCACTCTCTATGCACACTCACAGGGCCCTACACACTCACAGGGCCCTACACACTCACACACACTGTCACTCCAACACACACACACACACACACACTCACTCCATCATTTTCTCACTCACACATAATATGCACATACATTTATACTGACTGCAAGCTGCTGCTACTCTGTTTATCTTATATCCTGTTGCCTAGTCACCTTACCAGGGGCGGTGTGTTCAATAGGGCGATATGGGCGACGCACTGCCAAACGGGAAAAGGAAGGGATTTTTTTTCTAATCAATTATATCACGCAACAGTAGTTATCAGTGTTCTAATCTGATCTGACTGCCACTAAATGTCAAATCAGGCTAAAGTCGTGCTTCAAATGGCCCCGCCCGTTTTTGGGGCGATTTCAGTCAGGTTGAAAATCGCCCAGAAGTCTGTCATAGACTCTCATGTAAAATCTATTTTTTTCAAATTTCAAAGCTTTCAATACAATCTCTATGGGTGTCTGAGGGCTTGCACTTACGCGCTTTCGTCATACGTGACGTAACCATGAACGTAACTAAGAAAATAGCGGCTAGCAGCGTCTCTGTTGCGACCTGCAGTGTGGCGTTATCTTATGTTTTTAATTTGTACACTTAGTGGCGTTATTTTATGTTTTTAATTTGTACACTTAGTTTACAAACATTCTGCCAACCATGGATTTCCAGTGGTGGGTTTTGGACTGATCTTGTTGATCGTGTACATACCCGCTACGAACGGACTAAATAATGAAAACGCTGCTGGCAGCGGAATCCAATACAGCTGGGAGACTTGGCTGGATGACAGAGTCCCGGACAGAGAAGTGGAGCCGGCCGGCTTCACCCTGGTCAGAGCGGACCGCGATCTGACAGTCACAGGGAAAATCGATCCTGGTAAGAGAGCGACTCTGTACCCCCGACATTGAACTGCTTTCTGTGTCACTGCGACCTTACTATCTGCCCCGTGAGTTCCCCCAATTGTTTGTTACCGTTGTGTACTGTTGATAATCACAAGTTTACTGGAGAACTGAGACCAAGTAGAGACTTTGGACAGGGTGGATATGGTATAATAAAGGCAGTTTATTCAGAGGTAAAGATATCTGGAATCGCGTGCACGGACTCGTTCGTCAAACTCTTAGGGAGCTATCTGAAGAGAGCCCCGAAAACATTGTGTGCAGACATTTTATACAATAAATGATGTAGGTTGAATCTAGTAGTTCTGATCTTCTGATTGGTCCTGATGAGTTGGGCGAGGTCCCCTCCACTGTTGCATTGGCTCTGAGTCGGGTTCTCTGTCTTCAAATGTTCAGCCTAAAGAGAGGGGATTTTTGTGTGTGTGTGTGTGTGTGTGTTTAACAGTGATGATGTGTGTGTGTGTGTGTGTTATCAGTGATGATGTGTGTGTGTGTGTGTGTGTGTGTGTGTGTGTGTGTGTGTGTGTGTGTGTGTGTGTGTCCTCAGAGCAAGAACTCGTGAGTTGGAAGAACTGAGAGACCTATGGCGTGGGTGTTGTCCTTGGCCACCTGCTGACAAGGCTGACAAGATAGGACTCTTTTGTCCATTGTTATAGGATAGGAACAGCATTGATTGAAAACAAACGCCCAACACAAAATGGGTCATGCACAAGATTTTAGTCAGACCAAGCTATAACATTATATATTTACTACGACAGTACATTCAACCAAAAGCTAATATAACAAAGGCATCAGAGATTATTTATAATCTGTCACAGAAACTGGAATCCATCTCCCCAGATCAGTCAATAAATGCTTCTGGTATTGACTTATATGCTGCCCCTGTCTTCATGTTGTTGCTGGACATATCTTTTTTAAAATGTGTGTAGGTCACCTAAATCATCAGAAAAATTGCCCCTCCTGAGAATTTTTTCAGGAGCCGCCACTGCACCTTACCCATATACATATCTACCTCCATCACTCCAGTATCCCTGCACATGTAAATATAGTATTGGAACTGACTTTTTGAATATTTCCTGTATATAGTATGCTTACTTACTTACTTTATTGTGTATTTCTTATTCTTATTTATCATGTGCTTTTTTCTAGTAATACATTGTTATTGATTATTGCGTTGTTGGGTTTTGAGTTTGCAAGTAAGACATTTCACTGTACTTGTGCATGTGACATTCAAACTTGAAACTATACTAGGACCAGAAGTCCCCACAAGAATAGTAAACAAACAAACATTTGACCAACTGGGGGCATTTTGCTAGTTCCCACAAGAAAAAGGCTATTTCTAGGGGGTTTAGAGTTAAGGTTAGAATTAGTGTTAGGGTTAGAATTAGGTTTAGTGGTTAAAGGTTAGGGTTATGAGTTAGGGTTAGGGTTAAGGTTAGGGTTAGGGGTTAAGGAAAATAGGATTTTGAATGGGAATCAATTGTGTTAGGGTTAGGGCTAGGGACTTTTTGACTGCCCATTGTAGTAATGCTCAGAAAGTGACTTTTTGGACCTGAATACAATGCCAAAGATAAAGGTGCTCAAAATTGACCCATTTTGCATACCCCACCATACCATGAGACATCCATGTCTTTATCACTGGAAAATATACATCTAATTTAAAAGCTTACAAACAGGGTTGTCAAACTATTTGATGACCTCTTTAAGGAATACCTGGGATAGGATAAAGTAATCCTTCTACCCCCCCCTCAAATAAAAAAAATAAAAAAAATAAAAAATAAAATAAAAAAGAAATAATAGTTAAATAGTAAAAAAAAAGAAATACCTTATTTAAAATAAAAAATAAAATAACATTGTAAAGTGGTTGTCCCACTGGCTATAAGGTGAATGCACCAATTTGTAAGTCGCTCTGGATAAGAGTGTCTGCTAAATGACGTAAATGTAAATGTAATGATTTCTGGAGAAAAAAAAAGATTTTTTAAAATAAAAATTGACATTTTTAACCTTTAACGTCAATTAAATACATAAACTCCGATTTTTTTCCATATTCGCACATGTTGTAGTTTAGACACAATTTTACATCATCTGAGGTTTTTGTGTTGTGCCCGCCATCGGTTGAGACACATCATGCTCTTGAATACAGTGGGGGTGTCATGTTTTGGCTGATAAATGTACTAAAATGGGAATTCATTTGAAATATCAACTTTCAAATGGTACCACAAATATGGTTGGAGGTCCACACATCAGAGAATGTTGACTTGAATGGGAATATCATTGTTTTAAATTCTACTGTCAATCCTCCATAGGAAACCTATTGAAATCATTGAAATATATAATAGAACATTCATTACCATTTAAGTTGATATTCGATGGTGGGTGGACTGGCAGTCATCTTTGAGGTAGTAATTAGAAGTTAAACATTCAATTACATTTACATTTCAATGGTGTACCAGCTAAATTGCAGTGGTCTGATGGGATAGGTCCATTCTATGAATTATATTTCTATGATTGAAATGACACCCACCCCGTATTCAAGAGGATGTTGTGTCTCAACCAATGGCCAGCACAACACAAAAACCTCCGATTATGGGAAATAGGGTCTAAACTACAACATATGCAAATACATATTTTTTTAAAGGGGAGTTTATGCGTTTTTAGATAATAGATGTTAAAGGTTTAAAAATGACTATAAAAATAAAACGTTTTTTTTTTACAATCATAAAATGGTTTGACAACACTGTTTGTAAGCTTTTAAATTATATCAAACTCACCGTTTATCTTTTCCAGTAATGAAGACATAGATGTTTCATGGTGGGATATGCAAAATGGGTCAACTTTGAGCACCTTTGTCTCCTGAATGTTTTGGTATTCAGGTCCAAAACGTTACTTTCTGAACACTTCTTCCATGGACAAACATGAATGGAAAGTTTTGTTTAAATTAAAAGGGATGCTTTCAAAAAGTGATTGAATTGAAATGGATTTAACCATGAGGAATGTTGGTCCAAAGTTGCATACCAGCTGCCAGCTATATGCCAACATGCTCCAGACCACTTGGCAGAGTCAGAGATGTGATTTTATATAGGCTGCAGTGATAGGCTACTGCCACTAGCCTATAGGCTACTCGGCCTACCACTTTGACTAGCCCCAACTATAATAATCATGTAATTGATATTTATATTGCACAGCGTGCTATCTGTTTTATTTGACAATTGTGTCAAGCAACGTTTTATGAGTGATAAGCTCCTATATTTAGTCTGGCCATGCAATCACGTGCACATTTAGATTATACCGCATCTCATCCCTCGTGGGAGAGAGCATCGTCTTGTAATTGTTAACCAAAGTTATGATGATCATGATCATGCCACGACTCGGAAATATTCCCGTCTGGTTGGATTATTTATCGTTTTAAATTGGCCTGCAGTGCAGCGAGCGGGATGGATCGTGCGAAATTGACCACATCTGTGGAATAAACGGAACGAGATGCAGCCTGGCCATCTCGAGGAATTTAGAGCCGCTGAGAAATAGTCCTTAAAGCTGAAAATAGCCCGGAGAGACTCAAAGACAGAGAGAGCAGTGGTAAGGTTTTACTCCGCAGCCACACGAATCGGAACGGAATGAGATGAGCAACGGGAATCGGAGAGGTGTCATTATGATACATTTATGAACGGAATAATTAAGAATAAGCAGACTAGCCAACTCTCCTTTAGCCTACATCACCGCTTTAAACGACAGTGTGCTTATTCTTTCTTTCTGAAAACAAAAAATGTCCTGCTGTAGCCTATGAAACGTTACATAGGATATAACCTAACATTATGAAACACCTTAACAGTGACATAAAATTATCCACCTCTCAAGGAACGGTAGCTCAAATTGCAAAGGGGGAGGGGTGCGTGAGTGATCACTTTTGGAAACAGTGTAGGTGTTGTATATGTAGTGTTGCACTCCGCGCCCGGCCCGCTGCCTGTAGGTTGGCTGAACCCACCACAGTTTGGAATCTCCTTCTGAATCCGTCTGTCCAAACCCTGCCCATGCTGCGAACACACCCTCGGTTTAGGCCAATCAGCGAATACACCTTCGGCCTAGGCCAATCAGCGCAGAGCAGGACACCGCAGGTTGGAAATGGTGCGTGTCACCGCGCGCGGGAGCAGACTGGCGCGCGGATGGTAGGCTACAACCAGCCATGTATTTAGCGCCTCTCAGATCCCAAAATATGTCTCAGGAAAGACAGTGCGTGTTTGTCCAGAATGTGTCATTCATTAGGCCTATTCACAATGATTACATATATGTACCCTACGTTGTAATTATTATGTTCTGCAGTGACATAACGCTTTGTAGTTTTAAACCCAATGCATGGGCACGAGTCAGACCCATATACCCACTGGGCACAGACGTCAATTCAACGTATATTCAACATTGGTTCAACGTAATTTAATTGAAATGACGTGAAAACAACGATTCAACCAGTATGTGCCCAGTGGGTCACCGAGGAAGCTACATGTATAATATGAGAGGATACATTGGTTTTGAGTGTGTTGAATGAAACAAGTGATTATGTAATGATGCTAGTTAACATAGGCCTATATCCAGCTGATAGCACATTCTCAGCCATGGCTTCCCAGTTAGCTCTTTGAATGAAATCCACTGTTTTCCAATGCTGAGTCACTACCTCAGTGGAGAAAGAAGCCAACCTGATTTCTCAGAGACCTTGACCCCCTTCAGCCCACTTCTAGACACATCATGTTGTCAAGTGGTCTCTGTATCAATAGGAGAATGATTATATTTCAATATTAATTGTTGAGATGAGTAGATTGGAGGTTGTGAAGTAGTCACTGTATGAATGGGAGAATGATTATATTCTCAGCTCATCTCTCTTTCATTGTCCGTGTTGTTGGATGTCGGCTCCCTGTTTAGAATTTGTATCACCATCAGCTTTCAGTTATGTGCCTTTATGGGGCCTTCTCTGGCCAAGTCTTGCTGTCAGCATTCTGTTTGTCTGATAATCCATAGTGGTAGGCTTAGGGTTACTTTATACATAAACTTTAATACCTATATTGACAACTTCTTTTAAGGAGTCTGTTTCTCAAAAAACTTTCCAATCAATGCATCTTCATTTAATTACTTCCAACTGAATGCCCATCCCAGGCAATTACTCATTTCCAGAGTATAGGATGAACAGTCGATAATTAAGGAGCTCAGAGGTAGGAAACGTCCTGTGTGATTGAAGTAATAATAATAATAAAGGTAGGGAGGAAAAATACATCACAGAGGATGAATTAATTACAGATCCAAACGCTAACATTGTCTATGGATAAACTACAATACATCACAATTTACAATCAAAATAACGTTCAGTGATGCCTCTCAAAGTAACTCCTGAAGAAAGAAATAAACTTTCTGAGAGACAGGAAATGCAGACTGTTGTCACAAGCCATCCTTCCAAATAATGGAACATGCCATGAATAGAGTGCCTTTTATTTCCCTCAGACATTATGAGTAGCCTACATTTTAATAAAACACTCAATTTAACAGTTGAATCACATACAGGATCTATGCTCTAACTAAACTAAACTATGTCAAGATGCACACTGAAGTCAGGAAAAGCTCAATGCTGGTGGATCAGTGTGGTCACTCAAGATCCAAGGCGATATTCGACGTTCATCCAGGTCCCCAGGACGTCGGGAGATGCCTTCAAAACCGGCCACTAGGGGCAACGGTGAGCGCTATAGAGCTCGCCAGATTGTAGTCCTAAAACCCGTAATGAGTTACCTCTGGTTCGTTCAGCCATTCCTATGGGGAAAACGAATTGGGAAAGGTTTGGGATTAACGCCAAAAATAAGGTCTGAGGTTAAACACAGGTTTAGGAGATTATACGTTTTGTTCTATGAGATAATATCAGTCAGTTATCATGACCTTTATGAATTATGAAGCCTTTATGTGCTTTTTTTATAACATAAATGCTTTGAAATTCACAAAAAGTGGCGTTAGCTGATGAAGATTATCTCATAGAACAAAACGTATAAGATCTCCTAAGCCTGTGGTTACCACAGACCTTATTTTCGCTGTTAATTTCCCCATAGGCTTTGTCCAACAAACCTACAAAAAGACACCAATACTGTTGCTCTCTATTACCATCTAGTAGGCTTGCGGCTTGCTAAGGCGTTGTGGATATGGATGGAGGATGGGCATAAGCCGCGAGCTCTGGCTCCAAGCGTTGCATGTTCAATCCCAGTGCCAGGCACTCATTTATTAATTAAAATGTTTTACCCTATCCCAAACCTTAACCCTTACCTTAACTATTCGGAATTAATGCTGAAACCTCACCGTCAAAATGTGATGTTTATCCCCCCCTGGAAAAACGTAGAATACTGGTCAACCCGTGAAATCTTGTTGCGTGGATCGCCATGCCTGCAGCCACCAGATGCATCATGTACACCACAGGAGGTATTAGCACCTTAATTGGGGAGGACGGGTTCGTGGTAATGACTGGAGCAGAATCAGTGGAATGGTATCAAATACATCAAACACATGGATTCCATGTGTTTGATGCCATTCCATCAAGGCCATTCCAGACATTATTATGAGCCGTCTTCCCCTCAGTACCCTCCACTGATGTACACTATGTTCAGAGCAGGGCTGCGTGGCTGTCTGTGACAGCTACTTAAAGATCTTAAGACCATGCAACGTTATCGTCGCCTTTTATCCGGAACACATTGCGTTACCGTTAAATGTTCTCACATGCAGAGCAGAAGCCTCTCACGGTTTAGCGGTTGGTTTCATGAAGCCTCTCACGGTTTAGCTGTTGGTTTCGTGTCACTGAGAGTGGTCTGTCTGTCTCTGTGCCATTTCAATAGCACACAAATCTAATTTATCGTGTGTATGTCGCTCATGTTGACGTGGCCCCTTTACAGTGACACAGTCCAGAAAGTGGAGAAGAATGCTTTGAGTACAGTAACGCTGATGAGCTGTGACTGGTGGTGTGTGTGTGTGTGTGTGTGTGATGTGTGTGTGTGTGTGTGTGTGTGTGTGTGTGTGTGTGTGTGTGTGATGTGTTGTATAAGGGTCTGGAAACAGAAAACAGCCATGCGGTATGGGTCAAACCCCCATCATGAAACCACACCATGGGGAGCAGTGTGTGTGTGTGTGTGTGTGTGTGTGTGTGTGTGTGTGTGTGTGTGTGTGTGTGTGTGTGTGTGTGTAGGTAGGTAGGTAGGTAGGGTGTGCGTGTGTGTTTTGACTTTTAATGTCACATGAACAAGTACAGTGAAATGCCTCTCTGGCAAGCTCTAAACCCAACAATGTAGTAATCAATATCAATGTAATACTAAAAATAACAAGCTAGAACAAAAACACACGAGATATAAGAAATAAGAAGAACAGGAGAAAGTAAAAAGCTACAGTGAGGGAAAAAAGTATTTGATCCCCTGCTGATTTTGTACGTTTGCCCACTGACAAAGACATGATCAGTCTGTAATTTTAATGGTAGGTTTATTTGAACAATGAGAGACAGAATAACAACAAAAAAATCCAGAAAAACGCATGTCAAAAATGTTATAAATTGATTTGCATTTTAATGAGGGAAATAAGTATTTGACCCCTCTGCAAAACATTACTTAGTACTTGGTGGCAAAACCCTTGTTGGCAATCACAGAGGTCAGACGTTTCTTGTAGTTGGCCACCAGGTTTGCACACATCTCAGGAGGGATTTTGTCCCACTCCTCTTTGCAGATCTTCTCCAAGTCAACTCGAACCTTCAGCTCCCTCCACAGATTTTCTATGAGATTAAGGTCTGGAGACTGGCTAGGCCACTCCAGGACCTTCATGTGCTTCTTCTTGAGCCACTCCTTTGTTGCCTTGGCCGTGTGTTTTGGGTCATTGTCATGCTGGAATACCCATCCACGGCCCATTTTCAATGCCCTGGCTGAGGGAAGGAGGTTCTCACCCAAGATTTGATAGTACATGGCGCCGTCCATCGTCCCTTTGATGTGGTGAAGTTGTCCTGTCCCCTTAGCAGAAAAACACCCCCAAAGCATAATGTTTCCACCTCCATGTTTGACGGTGGGGATGGTGTTCTTGGGGTCATAGGCAGCATTCCTCCTCCTCCAAACACGGCGAGTTGAGTTGATGTAGGTCTACAATCTTGTCCCTGACATCCTTGGAGAGCTCTTTGGTCTTGGCCATTGTGGAGAGTTTGGAATCTGATTGATTGCTTCTGTGGACAGGTGTCTTTTATACAGGTAACAAGGTGAGATTAGGAGCACTCCCTTTAAGAGTGTGCTCCTAATCTCAGCTCGTTACCTGTATAAAAGACACCTGGGAGCCAGAAATCTTTCTGATTGAGAGGGGGTCAAATACTTATTTCCCTCATTAAAATGCAAATCAATTTATAACATTTTTGACATGCTTTTTTCTGGATTTTTATGTTGTTATTCTGTCTCTCACTGTTCAAATAAACCTACCATTAAAATTATAGACTGATCATTTCTTTGTCAGTGGGCAAACGTACAAAATCAGCAGGGGATCAAATACTTTTTTCCCTCACTGCATGTACAGGGTCAGTTCCAGTACCATATTTACAATTTGCAGGGATACTGGAGTGATGGAGGTAGATATGTATAGGGGTCAGCATACTATATACAAGGTCAGTTCCAATACCATATTTACAATGTGCAGGGATATTGGAGTGATGGAGGTAGATATGTATAGACGTAAGGTGACTATATACAGGGTCATTTCCAATACCATATTTACAATGTGCAGGGATACTGGAGTGATGGAGGTAGATATGTATAGGGGTCAGCATACTATATATAGGGTCAGTTCCAGTACCATATTTACAATGTGCAGGGATACTGGAGTGATACGGAGGATATGTTTGCAGAATTCTGTATGCAGAGTCTCAATTTGGTGTTTGTCCCATTTTGTGAATTCTTGGTTGGTGAACGGACCCCAGACCTCACAACCATAAAGTGCAATGGGTTCTATAACTGATTCAAGTATATTTAGCCAGATCCTAATTGGTATTTCAAATGTTATGTTCCTTTTGATGGCATAGAAGGCCCTTGCCTTGTTTCGCAGATCGTTCACAGCTTTGTGGAAGTTACCTTTGGTGCTGATGTTTAGGCCGAGGTATGTATAGTTTTTTTGGTGCTCTAGGGCAACGGTGTCTAGATGGAATTTGTATTTGTGGTCCTGGCAACTGGATCTTTTTTGGAACACCATTATTTTTGTCTTACTGAGATTTACTGTCAGGGCCCAGGTCTAACAGAGTCTTATCAGAAGATCTAGGTGCTGCTGTAGGCCCTCATTGGTTGGGGACAGAAGCACCAGATTATCAGCAAACAGTAGACATTTGACTTCAAATTCTAGTATGGTGAGGCCGGATGCTGCAGACTGTTCTAGTGCCCTCACCAATTCGTTGATATATATGTTGAAGAGGGTGGGGCTTAAGCTGCATCCCTGTCTCACCCCACAGCCCTGTGGAAAGAAATGTGTGTGTTTTTTTGCCAATTTTAACTGCACACTTGTTGTTTGTTTTTATAATGTCGTATGTTTTTCCCCCAACACCACTTTCCATCAATTTGTATAGCAGACCCTCTTGCCAAATTGATTCAAAAGCTTTTTTGAAGTCAACAAAGCATGAGAATACTTTGCCTTTGTTTTAGTTTGTTTGTTTGTCAATTAGGGTGTGCATGGTGAATACATGGTCTGTCGTACGGTAATTTGGTAAAAAGTCAATTTGACATTTGCTCAGGACATTGTTTTCACTGAGGAAATGTACGAGTCTGCTGTTAATGATAATGCAGAGGATTTTCCCAAGGTTGCTGTTGACGCATATCCCACGGTAGTTATTGGGGTCATATTTGTCTCCACTTTTGTGGATTGGGGTTATCAGTCCTTGGTTCCAAATATTGGGGAAGATGCCAGACCTGATGATGATGTTAAAGAGTTTATGTATAGCCAATTAGAATTTGTGTTCTGTATATTTTATCATTTCATGTAGGATACCATCAACACCACAGGCCTTTTTGGGTTGGAGAGTTTGTATTTTGTCCTGTAGTTCATTCAATGTAATTGGAGAATCCAGTTGGTTTTCGAAGTCTTTAATAGCTGATTCTAAGATTTGTAATTGATCATGTATATGTTTTTGCTGTTTGTTCTTTGTTATAGAGCCAAAAAAATTGGAGAAGTGGTTTATCCACACATCTCCATTTTGGATAGATAGCTCTTTGTTGTTGTTGTTTGTTTAGTGTGTTCCAATCTTCCCAAAAGTGGTAAGATTCTATGGATTCTTCAATTACATTGAGCAGGTTTTGTATTGTTTTAGTGATTCACCATAGTGAAGGCATAGACTCTGGGTTTTCTGGGTCTCTATGTTTTTGGTTGGATAGGTTTCTCAATTTCTTTCTTAGGTTTTTGCATTCTTCATCAAACCATTTGTCATTGTTGTTAATTTTCTTAGGTTGTCTGCTTGACATTTTTAGATTTGATAGGGAAGCTGAAAGGTCAAATATACTGTTTAGGCTTTCTACTGCCAAGTTTACACCTTCACTATTACAGTGAAATGTTTTGTCCAGGAAGTTGTCTTAAAGGGATTTAATTTGTTGTTGCGTAATTGTTTTTTGTTAGGTTTCTACAATACTTTCCTTCCATCTATAGCGTTTTTTAATATTGTGCAGTTCCTTTGGCTTTGATGCCTCATGATTGAGTTTTGCTCTGTTCAGGTAGACTGTGATTTTGCTGTGATCTGATAGGGGTGTCAGTGGGCTGACTGTGAACGCTCTGAGAGACTTTGGGTTGAGGTCAGTGATAAATTAATCTACAGTACTACTGCCAAGGGACATCTGTATTGCTTGCTGTTTGGGGTTTTAGGCTGGGTTTCTGTATAGCACTTTGTGACATCTGCTGATGTAAAAAGGGCTTAATAAATACATTTGATTGATTGAAGGGATGAGCTGTAGGTGTACCTACCATAGGAGTCTCCTCAAAGCCTACCATTGACTATGTACAGACCCAGCATGCGACAGAGCTGCAGGAGTTGTGACCCATTTTTGTTGGTTGTTTTGTCATAGTTGTGTCTAGGGGGGCATATTTGGGAGGGAATACTGTCACCTCCAGGTAGGTGTTTGTCCCTCTGTGTGCTGAGAGTGTCAGGATCTTGTCCGGTTCTGGCATTTAGGTCGCCACAGACTAGTACATGCCCCTGGGCCTGGAAATGGTTGCTCTCCCCCTCTAGGATGGAGAAGCTGTCATCGTTAAAGTATGGGGATTCTATTGGGTGGATATAGGTTGCACATATGAGGACATTTTTCTCTGTTGAGATAATTTCCTTATTAATTTCTAGACATAATTTAATAGATTGGGTTAGGTCTGCTCTATGTCAAATTAGCATACCCCCTGAGTCTCTTCCCTGTTTCACACTTGGTAGTTTGGTGGATGGGACTACCAGCTCTTTGTAACCTAGAGGGCAACCAGTGGGTCCGTCTCCTCTATACCATGTTTCTTTTAGGATGACAATATCTGTATTTCCAATTTCTTTGATGAAGTCTGGGTTCCTGCTCTTTAGGCCAAAGGCAGATGACCTCAGACCTCAGACCTATATTACAGGATGAGATAGTAAAAGCTTTGTGTTCCATAGTGTCTAGTGTTGTTTTCATGTGGTTTAGGCCCAGACCATTACAGTAGGTGTGAGCAGAGCATGTTGAGCATCTGATACATACCTCTTAGGTTACAGGATGGTGCTTGGGGGGGGGGGGAGGGTTGCATTAGTGGGGGTTGGGCCTGTTGCTCTGCTCACGGCCTGGGCATATGTGCGGCTGTCATGTTGAGGTCCTTGCTGCAGGGGCGGGGGGCATAGGGGAGGCAGAAGGGGCATAGGTCTGATCTGGGGAGGCCTATATAGGGTGTGACCAGGGTTTGTTTGGGGTCGTCTCAGCTGGTTGGGGTCTGGGTGTAGGTCCTCTTGGCATGGGTTATCTCGGTACCGGTCCTTCGGGAGGGGGTCTTCCAGGTCTGGGAGGGTGTCTCGCTGGTCTGGGCGGGATGTCCGTTGCTCTGTTGCGCCTGTGTGAGGTGCTGGGGCTCCATTTAAGGGTGATGACCTTCAGGGTCCTGGCAAAAGTTGTGGTTGCTGCCTTGTAGAGGTGGACCTGGTCGTAAAGGCTATTCAAGTCCAGGGTGGAGTGGTGGGCCAGGTAGACAGTAGGTTTTGAGGCACAGTCCCTGGAAATGCTTGCATTCACCCGCTGTATGGTGGCAAGGTGAATGTATTTTCGTAGTAGCAGGGTGGAGATATCCACTTGTGTGTTGGGGAAAGTGGAAGAGACTTTTTCAATCACTCCCTTGAGTGCTGTGGCCACCCTTTCATGCTGGGCCCTAAGGTTGTTTGTGCCCGTGTGAATTATAATGTGGCTGGGGGACCCTAGTCTGTCTTCTGACAACAGCTCCAGGGCGCGCTCTCTCTCTCTCTCGCTCTCTCTCTCTCTCTTGCTCTCACACTCTCTATCTATTTATTTATTTATTTATCTTCTCTTTAAAGCCGCCCCAGGTCTGTAAACTCATCTGGCTCGTTAAAATACTACTTTTACAGGGCCAGCAGTCTGAGGCAGCATCAGCTTCTCACTTCAAACGGTGTGAGATCTCTACCTCTTCTACCTCTCAGACCCTTGTTTTTATTGGCCTCAAACAATGTGCTATTATATCGTTAGCACAGTGTGAATAATATTGCTATAGTCCTGGCAGATGGACAGTCTCATTACTGTCTGTGGGTCCACGTCCAAAATGGCACCTTATTCACTGCTTTTAACCAGAGCCCTATGGGTCAGAGCCCTATGGGTCACCCATAGATCCAGGCTGCGTCTGAAATGGCACACTGTACCCTATATAGTGCACTACCTTTGACCAGAACCCTATGGGTCAGAACCCTATGGGTCAGAGCCCTGTGGGTTAGAACCCTATGGGTCAGAGCCCTATGGGTCAGAGCCCTATGTTTCTCTCTCCCACTACTGACCAGCAGCACAAAGGGGTGATTATTCAGTGAAAAGGCCCTCAGAGATTACCCATGTGACCTCTCACCTTGGCTGCTCCATCCTGCTGTCCCCATGGCGATGAGAGATAGAGGTGATGTCACCGTGTTCTGAGACATATGAGGTCGCCCTCTCCCTGTACGGTGGGCGTGAGGGGACAAAAGGGACAAAAGAGGGGCAGCTTTCAACACAAAAGCCCAGTTTAATGAGTGTGAGACATGAGGGACATGAGGCCATGGCGTCTCTGTGGGTGGCGCAGGAAGCAGAGTGTCATAGCCTTTCAAAAGAAGAAGAAGAGGAGACTGGGAGGGAGGGAGAGCAATTAATGATCAGTTTGGTGAATTGGGCATTAAGGCCTTTATTATGTAAGTAAGTCAGCCAAGTTTTGGATATCAATGAGGCAACTGCATCATGACAGCCCCTGTTCTCGGTAATGCTTACTTCTACTGGAGTCTTGGATGCTATATTTATCATGCTGCTCAATGGACAGGGTGATTGGCCCGACACAATGGAACACACTTTACCCCTCATTAGAGATAAAGAGGTCTTTGTGGAGTGATAGAGAGGGATGGAGAGAGAGAGAAGGAGAGAGGGATGGAGAGAGAGAGAGAGAGAGGGAGAGGGAGGAGATGGAGAGAGAGAGAGAGAGAGAAGGAGAGAGATGGAAAGGGGCAGGGAGGGAGGAGATGGATGGAGAGGGAGGGAGAGAGATGGATGGAGAGAGAGGGAGAGAGATGGATGGAGAGGGAGGGAGAGATGGATGGAGAGAGAGAGAGAGAGAGAGATGGAAAGGGGCAGGGAGGGAGAGAGGGATGGAGAGGGAGGGAGATGGAAAGGGGCAGTGAGGGAGAGAGATGGATGGAGAGGGAGGGAGATGTAAAGGGGCAGGAGGGAGAGAGGGATGGAGAGGGAGGGAGATGGAAAGGGGCAGTGAGGGAGAGAGATGGATTGAGAGGGAGGGAGATGGAAAGGGGCAGTGAGGGAGAGAGAGGGATGGGGGGGGAGGGAGATGGAAAGGGGCAGTGAGGGAGAGAGAGGGATGGAGAGGGAGGGAGATGGAAAGGGGCAGTGAGGGAGAGGGAGAGAGATGGAAAGGGGCAGGGAGGGAGAGAGGGATGGAGAGGGAGGGAGAGGGAGGGAGATGGAAAGGGGCAGTGAGGGAGAGAGAGGGATGGAGAGGGAGGGAGAGGGATGGAAAGGGGCAGGGAGGGATGGAAAGAGGGAGATGTCCGCAGATCATTAAGACTCTATCCTCTTGGCTGGACAGTGTTTACTTCATATTAATTATCAGGTGATTGTGTGTAGACCCACTAGCCCGTGATCCACATTCACCATCCAGTCCGGTCCGGTTCAGTCAGGACATAGAGGGGCATAATTGACAATATTCAGAGAAGTGCACGTAGAGTAAGGATATGTCCAAATGGCACCCTATAGCCTATACACTGATATACCAAACATTAAGAACACCTTCCTAATACTGAGTTGCACCCCCCCCCCCCAAAGGGATGCTGCTCCATGTTGATTAAAATGCTTTCAACAGTTGTGTTAAGTTGGCTGGATGTCCTTTGGTTGGTGGACCATTCTTGATACACATGGGAAACTGTTGAGCATGAAAAACCCAGCAGCGTTGCAGCTCTTGACAAAAACCGGTGCGCCTGGCTTCTACTACCATACCCCGTTCAAAGGCACTTCAATATTTTGATTGAAGTTGATTTAACAACTGACAATAAGGGATCATAGCTTTCACCTGGATTCACCTGGTCAGTCTATGTCATGGAAAGAGTCGTTTACTATACTCAGTTTATAGTAAACTACTTGACCAGAGCCCAAAATCAGTGCACTAGGGAATAGGGTGCCAGGGTGTTATTAGGTTGTGTTAGAGTGTTAACAGTTTTCTCCCAGTGGATGGAGCCATGTTTGTGTCCTGGCTAAAGGTAGATGTGAGCTGTGGAGCGTAGCGTGTTGGATGGGGGGGTCAGACAAAGGCAGGCCTTTGTCTCTATTCAACACACATTAATGAAAACACTGATTAAACATGGATAGAAGAACCTAGAATGAGGCATACCGTATCACTGAGAAGAGGCCTGGTTGTAATGTGGTCCTCTCATGCCATGTTCATTAGCTGTCATACCAAACATGTATATCGTGACAACCCTACATGTATATCGTGACAACCCTACATGTATATCATGACAACCCTATTATCAAGACAACCCTATTATCATGACAACCCTATTATCAAGACAATCCTAGATGTATAGGGTTGTCTTGATATACATGTAGGGTTGTCATGATAATAGGGTTGTCTTGGTAATAGGATTGTCATGATATACATCTAGGATTGTCATGATAATAGGGTTGTCTTGATAATAGGGTTGTCATGATATACATGTAGGGTTGTCATGATAATAGGGTGATGTTATATGTTGTGAGTCCCTTCCTCCACTGCCCTCTAAATGACCCGCTTGCCTGGGGGTTACTGAGGGGTGTATGTCTCTCTCCCTGTGTGTGTGTGTGTGTGTGGCGTGTATGTGTGTGTGTGTGTGTGAGGGGTGGTGGTCAGAGGGGAGAGCCAGGAGGGATCAGGTTACCGACCGGCCTTTTGTTCAACCGTCATTAGACAGACTTCTCACTTCCTTCCTCCCCCCACCTCCCCCCCGCCATTTGATTGGGAGAGGAAGGGGGAGTGGTCCTTTGATCCTCAAGCTGACCTTCTCTAAGTGGTGAGACTAAGGTATAGGTCCCAAATGGCAGCCTATTCCCTACATAGTGCACTACTTTGACCAGATGCAGCCCAGGATAAAGGCCCCATATAGGACAACTGCTGGACTTGTTGCCTACTACAAGCGCTGACAAATTAAAGCTGTTTTTGAACTCTTTCAGTTACGATATCCTGAGTATAATCATAATAATACACACATTCAAGGATATCTCACACACATATCCCAGCGACATTAAACACTGCCCGATAAGTTTACTACAACAACGAGTCAGTCAGAGTTATTTCAGCAGTTATATTTTGAAATATCCTATCTTTATTACATTTTTTCTTGGATTGATAAGCCAATATTCACACCTATTTTGGAACAGTGTAGTTCTTCTGTATTAGTGAACAATGATATCACTGTTTGGTCGCTCCTTATTTAAGGTATTTCTGGTTTGGTTTGTTCTGGCAATGTTGCTTCTATACTGGCATCTTGGTTTACAACAAACATAGCAGGATTGTTAGGATGTTAATATGAAAAAGTGTCATATAAAACTGCTCGTGGAGTTATTATTAAACTCTTATTACGTTGGTCATACAATATGCCACATATTAAAATATATTTTAGTACGAAACCTTGTTGATAACTTTATTGATAAAGCATCATGGTTTCACATAGCGATCATTACCTTGTGGCCAGCATCGGGTTCAAGAGAGGACAAGTAGCTTCATGAGTGTGTTATTATTAGTACCTTCATGACAAGCTGAGGAGTTATCGGTCTGGTCAAATCATCATGTCAGAAATGCATGAAAACCCCAATGATAGAAGATTGCTGTTGTAGATGTTTTGTGATGTTTGTTTACGACATGTTTACTAGATGTGTGTGTGTGTGTGTGCATGTTGTATTTTTCCGTGAGGCCGGCGGTTGGGAAGGGGGCAGGGAGGCCGGCGGTTGGGAAGGGGGCAGGGACACTGGGGAAGATGAATAGACCGTCAAATCTCCTCAGGAATGTTTGCAGAATTCCGCCTTGTAATTATGACATCCGGGGTGGAAAGCATGGTCCCCAACAACCGCCCCCTCTTCTCACCTCTCTCCTCCTCTCCCTCCCCCCTCATTCTCCCCCCCCCACCTTCTCCGGCCCCCCCCCCTTTTCTCCCCCCCTTTTTTCCCCCCCCCCTCCCCCCCCCCCCCCCCTTTTTTTTTTTTTCCCCCTTTTCCCCTTTTTTTTTTTAAAATTTTTTTTTTGGCCTTTCCTCCCCCCTTTTTTTACCCCTTTTCCCCCCCCCCCCTTTTTTTTTTCCTCCCCCCAAAATTTTTTTTTTCCCCCCTTTTTCCCCCCCCCCCCCCTCACCTTCTTTTTATTTTTTTTTCCCCTTTTCCCCCCCCCTTTTTTTCCTTTTTTCCCCCCCCCCCCCCCCCTTTTTCCCCCCCCCCCCCTTTCCCCCCCTCCCCTCTTCTCACCTTTTTCCTCCTCTCCCCTCCCCCCCCTCCCCCTTTTCCCTCCCCTCCTCTCCCTCTCTCCCTCTTCTCACCTCTCTCCTCCTCTCCCCTTTCCCCCTCTTTCCCCACCTCCTCTCTCCCCCTCTGCCTCACCTCCCCTCCCCCCCCTTTTTCTCACCTCTCTTCTCCCCCCTCTTCTCCCCTCTCTCCCCCCCCCTCTTCTCCCTCCCCCCTCTTCTCTCTCCTCCTCTCCCTCCCCCTCCTTCTCACCTCTCCCTCCTCCCTCCCCTTCCTCCCTCTCTCCTCTCCCCCTCCCCTCTCCCCTCCTCTCCCCTTCCCTCTTCTCACCTCTCTCCTCCTCTTCCTCCCCCTATCCTCACCTCTCTCTTTCCCCTCCCTCCCCCTCCTCACCTCTCTCCTCCCTCTCCTCCCCCTCTTCCCCACCTCTCCCTCCCCTCCCCCCTCCCCTTCTCACTCTCTCCTCCCCTCTCCCCCCTTCCACCCTCTCCTCCTCCCCTCCCCCCCCTCTTCTCACCCCCTTTTTTTCCCTCCCCTCCCCTTCCCCTCCCCCCCTCCCCCCCCTCCTCCTCCCCCCCCTCCCCCTCCCTCTCTCACCTCCCCCCTCCTCCCTCCCTCCCTCCCCTCTCTCACCTCTCTCCTCCCTCTCCCCTCCCCCCTCTTCGCACCTCTCTCCTCCTCTCAAAAACATCTCTCCTCCTCTCCTCCCCCTCTTCTCACCTCTTCCTCTCCCCTACCCAGTCTTCCCCTACATCTCCTCTCTCTCCCTCCCCTATCCTCATCTCTCTCCTCCTCCCCTCCTCCCCTCCACCTCTCTCCTCCTGGGGCTGGGGATGGGTTGTACAGGACACAATGTTTCTCCCCTCTGACTGACTGTACCACATCTTCAGTCGCATGCTCACACACTTGTCTGTAAATGTCACATTATTCGTACCATGGTTGTTTGTATATTTACACATTTATTGAAAAAGTCTAACTAGATTTTTTTTATCATCATCATATAGGCCTACAGTGTCAAATATTTGTCTAAACCTGTCAGTGTTTGTTTGTTTCTTTGTCGTTTTTTGGTGTTCTGACATGCTAAGATGCTAAGGTATTCTATGAATATAGAAGACCTTAGCATGTCAGAAGACAAAAAAACAACAAAGAAACACAAACACTGACAGGTTTAGAAAAAAAAAATTATACTGTAGGCCTATTGGATGATATAAAAAAAAATCTAGTTTGACTTTCAATAAATGTGCAGACGAGGCTGATTTGGCATAATAGGTGTGTCAACGGTGTTCACAAAGTGAGGAGAAGACAGGCGTTTATTACCCTTCACGACATCTCTGATCCTTTGGCTAGACGTCTTTTTACAAGGTGACAGTTATATACTGGCCCTCTATAACATCTCACTGGATCATGTATTTATTCTACCCTGGTACCTGGCAGTTTGACTGAGAACACATTTATGAGTGTAGTAAAGAGAGTTCTGGGTTCCCTCCAGACCACCCCTCCCCTCCACTCCTCACTGCTCTATTCCTCCTCAACCTGTCCCTTCCCCTCTCCTGCCCCCTTCTCTCCACTCCACTCCGCTCCACGAAGTAAGGATGGGGGGAGGTACACAGAGCGAGCCAAGGGCTAAAAATAGAAACAGGGGTTTGGGTTGAGGGGTGTTGCTGTGTGAACACAAACCCATGGGCTCCTATAAAACCTTTGAGGAGGGCTCTGGGCAGGGTGTGTGTGTGTGTGTTGTGCTTGTGCATGTGTGTGTTCGTGTGCGTGTGTGTGTTTACGCTGCAGATTTCCTGGCAGGGCCAAACATCATAGAACAGAGGAAAACAAATGAGTGCTGGTCATCCTGCAGAGCCTGCTCATATCTCATCGAGAGAGAGAGAGGGAGAGGGAGAGGGAGAGGGAGAGGGAGAGGGAGAGGGAGGGAGAGAGAGAGAGAGAGAGATAGAGAGAGAGAGGGAGAGAGAGGGTGTTGATTGGTAATGGTTACTCTGGTACCAGAGCAGCATAGGCCAAAACAAACTTGAAATACTTAAAAGGTGCTACACATAGTATTTATCCCCCATGTGGAAGCTAGGTGAATTGCAACAGCACTAGGTTGCATTTAAAACCAATCTCCCCCCTCCCCTCCATCCCATTTCCATTAACATGGCAGAGACTCACGCTTAAGCTTTTTACTTTCTGTTTTGGTCCACCAGTTTCAAACAGCTGTAAAGACGATATTTTATGTTATTGAAAAGACATTCCACAACTATTTAGATTGTCCCCTGTAGCTCAGTTGGTAGAGCATGGCGCTTGCAACGCCAGGGTTGTGGGTTCGTTTCCCACGGGGGGCCAGTATGAAAATGTATGCACTCACTAACTGTAAGTCGCTCTGGATAAGAGCATCTGCTAAATGACTAAAATGTAAAATGTACAATGATTCCCTACACTATTTAATGCTTGTTTTCTCACATAAACTGAAATTGAGCGAACAGTGTAGAATTTTAGCAACCAGGCGATTTCTACATTGGCCGCTTGACTCGATTTCCACTAGATAACACAGCCACAATGTCAAAACAGCTTTCCCGTTTTGACTACAGATGCCGGCCAGGCAGGAGAAATCAATAGGCGAAATATCACAGCCAATCACAATACTAGCATGTAAGTAATACTGTGAAACACTATCATTCCACTATTATTGCAGATATATTATGTACATTTTCTGAAATTACAATGCAAAAATTCTAGAAAATCCAATGTGTAGCACCTTTAAGAGTATTTGGATGTCTGCTGAAAGTATTTGATAACTGTATCTAATATGGGTCTGGTGATAACTGTATCTGACCTGGGTCTGGTGATAACTGTATCTGACCTGGGTCTAGTGATAACTGTATCTGACCTGGGTCTGGTGATAACTGTATCTGACCTGGGTCTGGTGATAACTGTATCTGACCTGGGTCTGGTGATAACTGTATCTGACCTGGGTCTGGTGATAACTGTATCTGACCTGGGTCTGGTGATAACTGTATCTGACCTGGGTCCTAGTGATAACTGTATCTGACCTGGGTCTGGTGATAACTGTATCTGACCCTGGGTCTAGTGATAACTGTATCTGACCTGGGTCTGGTGATAACTGTATCTGACCTGAGTCTGTGATAACTGTATCTGAACCTGGGTCTGGTGATAACTGTATCTGACCTGGGTCTGGTGATAACTGTATCTGACCTGGGTCTGGTGATAACTGTATCTGACCTGGGTCTGGTGATAACTGTATCTGACCTAGGGTCTGGTGATAACTTGTATCTGACCTGGGTCTGGTGGGATAACTGTATCTGACCTGGGTCTGGTGATAACTGTATCTGACCTGGGTCTGGTGATAACTGTATCTGACTGGGGTCTGGTGATAAACGTATCTGACCTGGGTCTGGTGATAACTGTATCTGACCTGAGTCTGGTGATAAACTGTATCTGACCTGGGTCTGGTGATAACTGTATCTGACCTGGGTCTGGTTGATAACTGTATCTGACCTGGGTCTGGTGATAACTGTATCTGACCTGGGTCTGGTGATAACTGTATCTGACCTGGGTTGGTGATAACTGGTATCTGACCTAGGTCTGGTGATAACTGTATCTGACCTGGGTCTGGTGATAACTGTATCTGACCTGGGTCTGGTGATAACTGTATCTGACCTGGGTCTGGTGATAACTGTATCTGACCTGGGTCTGGTGATAACTGTATCTGACCTGGGTCTGGTGATAACTGTATCTGACCTGGGTCTGGTGATAACTGTATCTGACCTGGGTCTGGTGATAACTGTATCTAACCTGGGTCTGGTGTGAGTGACCCTGGGGAAGGAAAGAAGGAAAGGATGGGTGTGGGTGGTCGTCTCTGGTTTGGTTCTGGATGCCGGGTTGTGGAGCTTGTTTTATTAATAACCATAATCCGGAACATTCAATCTATTTTGGGACTTGTAGACTCCTAGCACAGTGGGGTGCGACCTGGTTTTCATGCTGTCCCTCTCGAACCCTGTCCATCCGCATGGTTGTGGCTTCCAACCCCAGACCCAGAGATGATGATGATTGCTCTGTCATGGCTTTTCCAGCCAGCATGGTCATACCTGTGGTTTGGATGGAAGATGAAGCCATTAGTGAACTGAGGTTGAGTGTTTATGGTGTGAAAAGCAGCAATGGAACTAAACCGGTCTGTTAACTGTTGAGAAAGAGAGAGACAGCGAGCGAGCGAGAGACGCAGGGTTGAGAAAGAGATGGAGACAGCAGTGAGCTCCATGGTTGGTGGTTGAACAAGGGCCTGGTTCCTCTGGCTAATGCCTACACTCTTAGAAAAAAAGATGCTATCTAGAACCTTAAAGGGTTCTTCGGCTGTCCTCATAGGAGAACCCTTTGAAGAACCCTTTTTTGGTTGCAGGTAGAACCCTTTTGGATTCCATGTAGAACCCTTTCTACAGAGGGTTCTACCTGGAACAAAAACGGGTTCTACCTGGAACCAAAAAGGGTTCTCCTATGGGGACAGCCGAAGAACCCTATTGGAACACCTTCTTCTAAGAGTGTATGTTGGAGAGAGCTGTCCTGGGGAAGGGAGGGGGAATGTGGCTGTGTAGAGAGTACGCGGCAGACATGCACGGTGGAGGGAAATATGTGGTAATGAATGTCTTCACTACCGCCATCTGTCATCTGCAGCCTTCCAGCTATTTACTACCCCTGCATTCCTTAGACTGCCGGGACGCCACTGTGTGTGTGTGTGTGTGTGGTGGATGGGTTGAGGTTGTGTGTTGAGGAGAGGAGAGGAGCGTACCATCTATGTAGGAAATGACTGTCTTTCTCTCCAGCTCATGGTTTACCCGTTCACATAGTCTCTGTTGAGTCTGCTGTTCTTTTGTGGCATTATTTACATAGTTCAGAGACGCAGCTATTCATTGTATAAACAAATATAACTCTCTGTGTTTACATGTTGTGAGTATGTTAGAGTTCAATGTTTTAGTTGTAATGATGTGTTAAAGATTGGGTGCATTAAACACTTTTGGACTTTGGACCAGAGCACGGATGGAATTGGACCAGAAATCGGCCCTGGCATTTCTAATACATTGGCCCATTTCTTCCCTTGAGGCCCTCATTATTAGCCAAAAAATGGTCATTTTGTGCAAAATCTACAACTTGGACAGGCCCACTGAGATAAAGTTGGTCCAACCCATCTGGCATTTGCCAGAATTGCCCTACGGCCAGTCCGTCCCTGGACCAGACAGAAGAATGGGCCTCTGTGAGGCAGGCAGGCTGCTGCATCTGCTGTTCTCTAAGTAGTGTCTCCATGGCAACATAAGTTATATCATCTTACTGTACGTCATAAATCATTATGTCCTTTCGCTTATGTTGTGTGAGATAGTTTCATCTCTCTGTTCTCTCAAATCATCATTAGTTATTTTAGTCTAATCATCATCAAGTTAGTTTGTCTCATATCTCTTATATTGAGTTTTCATGGCAACATCTTCATAAGTTTGTCTCATATGAGTGAAGTCAGCGGTAGTTCTCTCTTGCAGAGAGCGTGTGGCGTGTGGCATCGCTCACTGAGCTCTCTCTCTCTCTCTCTCTCTCTCTCTCTCTCTCTCTCTCTCTCTCTCTCTCTCTCTCTCTCTCTCTCTCTCTCTCTCTCTCTCTCTCTCTCTCTCTCTCTCTCTCTCTCTCTCTCTCTCTCTCTCTCTCTCTCTCTCTCGGAGCCTTTTCAGTGGATTATTATAATCTAATAAACTACCATAGATATTCACTTACAGCCTGAGAAAAACTCACTGTGTACTGGGAATCACTTGTGAGCTGCCTGTCACGGTGCGCGAGGGCTCAGAGGGTCTCGTGTTCAATCCCAGTTATAGGCACTCGTTTACCATTTTTGGGTTTTAACCCGATCCCAAACATTAACCGTTAATTTAACCATTCGGAATGAAAGCCTAAACATAACCTTTGAAATTTGACGTTAATGGACAAACATCGGATTCTGCAGTGATTCTGTGAGAGCTTGTTGCTAGAGAGAGAGAGATATAGAGAGACTTTACTTGCCAGTCATTTCAGTCGGTAAGGTGAAGTGAACCTCGTTTGAGCAATTGAGTGTGGGAACTAGTGGTCCTATTTCTTGGCCCAGCAGCCCATGGAAAGTGATGTGTGTTTGACTACATGTTCCTTTAGCGGTGGTCTTGGCTGTGCTGCCGGGACCCTCGGAGGTGTCCATGTTATTGTAGGACGTGTCCCAGGCCACAGCACTAGGTCTTATTTCTCACAGGACCCCATGACAAACCAGAGGCCTAAAGATGTGGCCTGTCCACACACACACACACACACACACACACACACACACACACACACACACACACACACACACACACACACACACACACACACACACACACACACACACACACACACACACACACACACACACACACACACACACACACACAGATGTGGCCTCTCCATAATATACAAGCGTAGAGAGTCTCTGAGTCATATTTTATAGAGCTGGTGTGTGTGTGTGTGTGTGTGTGCGAAAGCCCAGTCATCTTGTGGCTGAGTGTTGATGTTATTGGAACCCCCGTATATAAAACTACCAGCTCTCACGTCAGAATTAGACGTTCATCCATGCATGTTTCTCAAACGTAACATTTTTAAGGTTAGGGTTATGTTTAGGCATTAAATCCAAATGCTTAAGGTAAGGGTTAAGGTTTGGGATAGGCCCTAGCAAAACTGAAACCTTCCTGAAGGTAACAGCGCTCACTGTTGCCCCTACTGGCCAGTTTCCACGTCACCTCCCGAAGGACTCAGACATGGATGGACGTCGAATACTGACTTGTATCACGGGTGACCTGGCTGCTATAAAATCACACTACGGTATGATGACATGTTCCTCACCGGCTGGCCAACCCTGCTACTGTGTGCATGTTTGTACGTGTGTGTGTGCGTGCGTGTGCCTATGCTACCCTCCAGTCCCTCGAATTCTTGGCGCTGACGGAAACATGGTTTACTACTGAAAACACTGCTACTCCTACATCTGGTCAGCGGGGTGGTGTCACAGGAATCCTCATCTCTCCCAAGACCCATCTGTCTATCTCCTCATTTGAATTCCATGCTGTCACAGTCACTAGCCCATTCAAGCTTAACATCCTTGTCATTTATCGCCCTCCAGGCTCCCTTGGAGAGTTCATCAATGAGCTTGACGCCTTGATAAGTTCCTTTCCTGAGGATGGCTCACCCCTCACAGTTCTGGGTGACTTCAACCTCCCTACGTCTACCTTTGACTCATTTCTCTCTGCCTTCTTCTTTCCACTCCTCTCCTCTTTTGACCTCACCCTCTCACTGTCCCCCCCTACTCACAAGGCAGGCAATACGCTTGACCTCATCTTTACTAGATGCTGTTATTCTACTAATCTCACTGCAACTCCCCTCCAAGTCTCCGACCACTACTTTGTATCCTTTTCTCTCTCGCTCTCCTCCAACACTACTCACTCTGCCCCTACTCAGATGGTAATGCGCCATCGCAACCTTCGCTCTCTCTCTCCCGCTACTCTCTCCTCTTCCATCCTATCATCTCTTCCCTCTGCTCAAACCTTCTCCCTCCAATCTCCTGATTCTGCCTCCTCAACCCTCCTCTCCTCCCTTTCTGCATCCTTTGACTCTCTATGTCCCCTATCCTCCCGGCCGGCTCGGTCCTCCCCTCCTGCTCCGTGGCTTGACGACTCATTGCGAGCTCACAGAACAGGGCTCCGGGCAGCCGAGCGGAAATGGAGGAAAACTAGACTCCCTGCGGACCTGGCATCTTTTTACTCCCTCCTCTCTCTCTGTGGATGACTTCGTCAACCATTTTGAAAAGAAGGTTGACGACATCCGATCGTCGTTTGTTAAGTCAAATGACACTGCTGGTCCTGCTCACACTGCCCTACCCTATGCTTTGACTTCTTTCTCCCCTCTCTCTCCAGATGAAAACTTGCGACTTGTGACGGCCGGCCGCCCAACAACCTGCCCGCTTGACCCTATCCCCTCCTCTCTTCTCCAGACCATCTCCAGTGACCTTCTCCCTTACCTCACCTCGCTCATCAACTCATCCTTGACCGCTGGCTATGTCCCTTCCGTCTTCAAGAGAGCGAGAGTTGCACCCCTTCTCAAAAAACCAACACTCGATCCCTCTGATGTCAACAACTACAGACCAGTATCCCTTCTTTCTTTTCTCTCCAAAACTCTTGAGCGTGCCGTCTTTAGCCAACTCTCTTGCTATCTCTCTCAGAATGACCTTCTTGATCCAAACCAGTCAGGTTTCAAGACTGGTCATTCAACTGAGACTGCTCTTCTCTGTGTCACGGAGGCTCTCCGCACTGCTAAAGCTAACTCTCTCTCCTCTACTCTTGTCCTTCTAGACCTGTCTGCTGCCTTTGATACTGTGAACCATCAGATCCTCCTCTCCACCCTCTCTGAGTTGGGCATCTCCGGCGCGGTTCACTCTTGGATTGCGTCCTACCTGACCGGTCGCTCCTACCAAGTGGCGTGGCGAGAATCTGTCTCCGCACCACGTGCTCTCACCACTGGTGTCCCCCAGGGCTCAGTTCTAGGCCCTCTCCTATTCTCGCTATACACCAAGTCACTTGGCTCTGTCATATCCTCACATGGCCTCTCCTATCATTGCTACGCAGACGACACACAACTAATCTTCTCCTTTCCCCCTTCTGATAACCAGGTGGCGAATCGCATCTCTGCATGCCTGGCAGACATATCAGTATGGATGACGGATCACCACCTCAAGCTGAACCTCGGCAAGACGGAGCTGCTCTTCCTCCCGGGGAAGGACTGCCCGTTC